CCTGCAAATTCTGAGGTTGGTTCCTAAGACCACGAAGCCTTCTCCCAAGTGCATCCCAAACGTGCTCTATTGGATTAAGGTCACGGGGCCTCGATGGCCAGTCCATGACACTGATTCCAGCGTTTTGAAGAAAATTTCGTGTCAACATCGCGGTATGCGGCCGAGCATTATCATGCTGGAACTGTAGACCTGGGCCATGAGCCGCCATGAAAGGAACGAGTTCAGGGGTGAGCACCTGGTCGCGGTTAGCAGCAGCTGTGAGGTTTCCACGGATGACCGGAAGTCGGGAGCGGTTGTTCCCACAGAAAGCACCCCACACAATGCAACTTCCGCCCCCGAATCTGTCGACTTCCCGTACACAACATTGGGCATACCGTTCACGACGTCGTCTCCAGACTCTATGTCTGCCGTCCGCGAATCTGAGGGTAAACCTGGATTCATCGCTAAAGACGACTCGATTCCAGTCTCTCTGGGTCCATCGGAGGTGACGTTGGGCCCACAGCAGACGTTGACGTTGGTGAAACGGCGTCAATATTGGCCCACAATATGGACTTCGAGAATGGAGATTGGCAGCCCGCAACTGATTTCGAATGGTCTGTGAGGACAGTCGACCTCTAAACATATCAGCCCTGGTTCGTGTAGCCGGCAGAAATCTGTCACGTAGGTGACGTAGGACGATTTGACGGTCTTCTGCTCGTGACGTCACACGTGGACGACCCGACCTTGGGCGATCAGAAGTGGTGCCAGTTTGTTGTAGACGACCTCGCAAGTCATACACAGTACGACGGCTGCATCCCATTGCTCTTGCGACGTCAATAACTGATCTTCCCGCTTGCAACATGCCAACGGCACGTTCACGTTGCACATTTGACAATCGTGGCATTTCCAGTACCGTTAGAACTGTGGTTTAAAAGTGTTTTTTCAATTCTTGAGGCCAATGCAAACACGTGCATATGAAGAAAACTTCGATGCGAAGATCACGTGATCGACTGCACGTGTAAAAAACCTGATTTGGCACTAACGTCATTTGCAAGACGAATGGGTGGGTTTGAGTGGGTTTTGCTAACGTTTTTCTAGAGTCGAAAGATAGGGATCCCATTTCGGATACATAGATGTATCATCAGAGAAAAATTATTCATTATTTTTCAAATTACATTTTGTGAAGTTTCTTTTTTGACTCAGTATATTTTCACTGGGACTTTATAATCACAATATTTTCTGCTAAATAAATATTTATTCTCCGAATGTGAAATAATGTTCAATGATGCCCACTGGCTGCACGTAATCGGCATAACCTCGTCAAAGCAAATACGATACGAAACTATTTGTGTGTGTAAGTTGTGCTTCAGAAAGCGATCGAAGGAGTCATTTCCATGCTTAACATATTACGTAAACAAGATGGATGCAAGAAAACACGAAAAACTTGCCAAAGTATCTAGTATGTAACAACAATTCAATGGCATACATTTCCATGAAGTCTGGAAGGAGCATGATTGGCTCATTAAGATTATTATCCATTACCATAATATCACACAATGACGTTAGTAAGACAAACTAACAAGAAAAAGATTACACCGTTTCTACCAAATTACCAGGTTCATAAGATGCACCCAGGTTTGTGCCTGTACAAGTATATGCATGGGAGGAGTGTGTTCATTTACATCAATAAATTTGTGTCTATGCAGATAAAAATGCACAGTTCCCTAATAACAAGATTGTTGAGTACCAGAATAGAAAACGAAATCAAGAACCTCCCACAATTCATATAACAGATGAATACATTTGAGTGTGACTATAGATAGCATGGCGAATATGTACACCGGCTTGTTTATTTATTTTTCTGTTTACATGTTTGTACACTATAACTGACATTCTGTTAAAAAAATTATTATTTTCTTTAATTATGTAAAGAAACGTTTCTCCTGTGCCGAACCGGTTTGATCTTTTTAAGAATTGAATAAATTGAAAAATTTGCTTTAAAAATCCTGATATTACACATACTGTATAAACAAAGTATTCATTGTATATCTAGACTGATGTTTGTGAATTATTTCTTTATTTCCAGTTTAACCGCACGAACGCACCGATTTGTTACTTCAAACACGTTCAGATTATATGTACATCCTACATTTGTCAACCATTCATCCCACGCGTTTACTAGAATTGGTGCCGAAAATTAGCTTTTCCCTCTTATATAACCTGTCGATTAGAGCCAGTAAAGTGTTATCGCCTTGACTGATAAATTGAATCATTGTAGACGAGGTGCAAGAGATTATATATATATTATATACACTGAACATCATTGAAAACGCAGCAGTCTAAAATTGTCCACATTTTCATCAAGGTGGATTTCAGCATGACAATGATCAATGAATATGACTAACATGAAGTCGAAGGGCATGTCTAGTTGACAAAATGCTTTAGAAACAAATTCCTCTTCACAGTATGACACTTTATTCCAAAACGCATCAACCTGCAGCTACTCCATCATGAAAAAAGCACGAATTTCATTCTGAAATCATGCTGACTGTGACATTAAAAGCAGGTGTATGAGAAACGATTCTCATTGCTTCACTAACGATTGTGAAACGAGGACAGAGATGCCGAGGTTAACACTTCAAGGAAGAGAACGCGCACTTGGCATGATTCAGGTTGGCACCAGCAGCAGGGATATTGCTCGACAACTTGGACTTGGCCACTCCACCATCGTTGGGCTTCATAGACGACATCAGCAGACAGGCAGCACCCGTGACCTTCAACGACCTTGGCAACAACGTGTCACGACCTCCCGTCAGGATCGCTATATTGACCTTGACCATATCCGTGATCAAACACTGCCGACTGCCAGGACTGCTGCACTAGTTCAAGGTCGACGTGGGGTCATCAGCGCTGACACTATGCGACGCTGTCTACACGTTACAGGGCTCCATGCTCGACGTCCTTACGTTGGACTAATTCTGACTGACAAACACCGTAATGAGCGTATGCAATGGGCTAACAGGCATGTTCAGTAAAGTTTACAACAATGGCATGGTGTGGTAGTCACTGACGAATCACGTCTTCACCTACGTAATGCTGACGGCCGATTACGTGTTTGGCGTAGACGTGGTGAACGTTATGCTTATGAGTGGGTGGTTTTAGACAGACCGTAGGGTGGTGAGAGTGTCATGGTCTGGGGTGAAATAAGTTACAATCACAGAACTGCCCTTCATGTCTGTCAAGGGAGAGTTAATGTCCTTTGCTACCGTGACCAGATTCTTCAGAATCACATCGCATCTGTCTTCAATCACCACCAAGATGTCCATACTTTTCAACAGGACAACGCACGGGCACACACAGCTAGACTTTCCATGCAGTATCTGGCCCAGCAACACATCCAGGTTATTCATTGGTCAGCACAGTCGCCAGGTGTATCCCCCATTGAGCACTCGTGGGACGAAATTGGTCAAAGTCTTTCGCGGCGACAACAGATGCGAAACATCCGGGAACTTGAGGCTGCACTACTGCAGAAGTGGAATGCCATCATCAAGAACTCTATTCGGACGCTTATTGACTCAATTAGGAGACGTTGCACTGCATGTATCAATGGAAATGGCGGTCACATGCAATATTGACTTTTCGATTTGACCCCACGTGTGTTTGATCCTCTCTGACTGAGGAACAATTAAATTAATGAGCGTCTTTTCTGTGTTGACTTGGCTGCCTGAGATAAAAATAATAAATGATTTACGGTTGTGAAAAAGAAGAGATAATATGAATATAAATCGAAGTACTTCACGGTGATACGAAAAGTGATATTGGGAAATATTGCATCCTCATCATATCGTCATACCTCTGCTGAAATAAGTGTGTTCGCCGACATATAGTCAAGATATGGTCTGAATCGTTCAATGGACTCTGACGTTTCTGACGATTCTTCAAGGATTTTGTAGCTTATATTTCACTGCATTGGATATTTTCCAAAGTACAAGTCCTTATAAGCACATGGTTGACCCATGCAGTGTTGTCATTGTTTTGCAGACTTTCAGAATACAATACAATAATAAAACAATGTCGTGGAAAACTTTTCGGTGCCACGGTTCTGTGGTTGTTACCAAGTTTTAAGTAGGTTTGATCATCCGGACCCTGGTGTCTAATTTTGAAATGATATAAATTGAAAATTCAAAGACTCGACATCAGGTACTCGTGGTCTATCCTACACAATGATTAAGGTCAGTAGAAGCCAAATCACTTGTCATTGTCGCTGTCACCAAAGAGGTCGTGTTTGTTTTGTCACTGTGTCAGGGCAGAATGGAGATATACTGGTGGGTTTTCAATGCGGAGGTTTCGCCTGTAGCCTTTGCTTTCACGTTCGGCTTCGAATGAAAGAAATCAAATCCACCCATGAAACCTCTAAAGTAAAAGCACATTAGCTTGATCTCCTAACGATCATGTACATGACCACCTGGCTCATGATCCAATGTTTCATGCATCAACAAGAGCAGACTATACCTCTGTTCTCGTATTCAGATCCTAACAACGGTTTAACCCATTCAGAGTTATTGTACTTGTAAGATTCAGGGAACTGAACATTGCGTCGATGGGATAATAGTTGTTGTTTTTTAATGATACGTTTACTTCAGCATTGTTGGGATGTAGGTGATGAGGTAGGTATTTACAATGCAAAGGTGGGCATGTGGGGTCACCTGAATTCCATGTTGTAAGTTTATGTATATTTATTTATCTGATCCAGTGTCATATACAAGGATGTAACGCAAGTATGAGATTGTATACTTGATGATGACTGCAAATTTATCCTCTGTTCTGAGAGTTATTGGATATTCTGACTCTTAGGAGTCACTTGGTAATATACACAAACAAAAGTAAATCATTACGATATGACATCTTTGGGGGAACCCTCTGAGGATAAACATGGACTACTGGACACACCGATACCTAAGATCTGGACATTCTTTAACACTAGTTGACCTAAAACAGCAACAAATCACAAACAAGCTGTATCACTTTGCTTGCAAAGCACATTTATTGAACGAGACAATCTGAGTCGACGCAAATACAACACATACAACAACGGTGTTGACATACAGACGGCGACGTGGGCAGACAGGGGACACACACTGAGACAGATAATCGCGAAGGTATCAGGTCAGCTCTTGAGCAATAGATGACAATGTTTGAATGGAGAACAGTGCATTGTATAGAACTTGTTACAACGTCTAAATTGCTGGTGATTGTGCCCAAACAGGGCATCCTCGTGATATATTTTTTAAAAGTGAGTGATTGGTCTGTTGGCAGTTGGCAGGCACCACCACCGATTCAAAGAATCGTGCTTTCAGTTATACATTCATCGACTTTTTTGTTTCTTTTGCACTCAATGGAACCTGTTTCGTCGCGTTATCGAATCTGGGTATCCCCTAGCTTGGGCAATATATATTCATTTACGTAGACTTCTATACAATTTATAACTACATTATTTCTTTGTATAAGCTCATCAAATGCACTGTACCCATTTATTGCCTGCATGCAGCTCAAACACAAATGACCTTCATATGATGTTCAAGGTCGGAGACTGGTTTCATTTAATTCCTTCTGACACAAGTGAGTTGCTGGATGACTTGGTATCGAGCAGTGACGGGCAGTTCAGCGATCTTGGCATATTCGCGTCTGTTGATGAGTTTGCGAATGACCCTGGCCTCGCGACTTCCCCTCGCCACACAGTGGAAGGGGATATCGGCGGGACTGCGTTGTTCTACTCGACACGTCTTGGGGCACCGCTTGACAGGGATGATGGAGTAACAGGTGATACCCTCTGTCTTACGGTACTTCACGATCGGGGCCTCCACAGGTGCGCAGGTTGTGTCTGTAATGGAATGCATATGATGATTGGGTTTGTTTGTTTGGCCGTGATCTATATTTGTAAAGAATATTCACAACTGGTTTGCATCTTACGCCCAGTAGAATCTCGTTCCGGTATTATCAGGATTATTCTCTGGCTTTGACGTTTTATGTATACGTCTTTGAACCTCAACATTATTCAGGCTATAGAAAGAGCTGAATTGGGGCTCACAATCCAGGGGTTGATATTATGAGAGACGATCCACTACATCTTATGCTATCGGGATGCGACCTATCAACACTTAGCATAATAGTTTTCTGTTAAATAACGTGTATAGCCTGGCAACATATAAACAGCATAGTCTATTAGTTTATGCTTGATTAATAGAAAGACTATATGTGTGCGAGTTGTATAAAACGTACATTTAATTAGCACACAAAACGTATGATAATTAATGTGAAATAAATTAAAAGCAAAATTTCCATATTTAGTATATTTACCACCTACTTATAGGGTCCAACACTCCAATGTAGACGTACAGTGACGACTTCAACAGGATTTGTCCAAACAATTAGAAAGGTATGAAAACGTTACAAGGCCCAAAACATTCCCTGACAAACTGCAAAGGTAAGGTCCAAACACGACTGATACCCGTTTCACCATCACAATACATCACCATCTAATTACAAATCTATTCTAACCACTATATAGCATGGGTGAAGACTTTGTTTTGTAGGGCGATCTATATAAAGTATTCATCTTACCCATTCGAGTAATTATGTGAGGCAAGGATGGACGAGGGCAGTTAGCTCCCTTGATTATGTAGCTCGCAACGAAGGGCTCTGGTGTATTGAAGAAGCTTCCGTCAGGTGCCTCGAACTCGTAACGTTGTTGCCCGTCCATGTTGCTGCACAAGCCACAAGTCTTCAGTTTGAACAACGGGGAAGCCTACAAGAGATAAAATGATAAACGCATTCAGTTCAGACATTACACTTTCTAAAAGGCCTCAATGTTGCTTTAAGAAGAAGATTTACAGATTTTGTTTAAGGAGCAGTTTAAAGCTCGTCTTTACAAACATGTTTATTCATAATTTTACCCTTAGTTTTTTTACCTTTCGCTCCATGGACAACAGAATAAACACATGTCTCACAGGCCCACGTGTCAATCAGTTCCTATTTTATCATCATTATGGACATACATAAACACTAATACCATAATAATAAGGACATATTTCATACGTGTCATCATTCCATGAGGACAAATAAGTTGAAGTTTATAATGTTCAGGTTTTACAACAGGTCAACACCATTTTCCGATCCAGTCGCAATACAGTTCAGAGACAGATCAGAAACACACAATCGCCTACATACACTTCCATACACTCCCATAGAGTCCATAAAGCATTTACGTATTCGGGCGCATTCGATTGTTACGAGAAGTGAATTCAATGTAGTCATTCACACGATTCAGAACAAACATTGTTACATTCAACAGATAATTCAACCTCGTTCGCTGTTCGGCCCCCTCGCTGATTTTATCTCAGAATGAATGACTGCTATCAGGCAATATTTGACTGTATATTCCTATAGAGATAATAGCCCCATTCTTTTTCTCTTAAGTCATTCATCCGAGTTTTTAAATGTGTCATTTATGTGCATTTCATGTAGCACAAATTAAACAGTTCAAAATCCGTTTGCCTAATCAAAAACATGACAAGTGTTTTAATGGACAATTTACATAAGACATGAGACATGATGGTTTCATTTACTGATTATTGTTAAAAACACTCTTGTCATTTGTTGGTGATTTCCCTTTTGAAGGATTATTGTATCGTTGCGTTTAAACCTGTTCTATACATTTCTATAAGATTTTCCAAAACCCGCTAACACATCAAAGAAAGACAGAAGCGTCAGTAGAACTATACTAAGTTTCAATTATGTCGTTTGTTAATTATTCATGGACCTTGTGTGTGTTCTAGGTGGTTTTACATTCAGTTTCTGAACAAACATTTTTGTGGCGTCTCAGTACGGGAAGGAACACGTAAAGATTTGTTGTGGCCAAAGGATGCTATTAGTTTTGATTTTCCAAATAATTCTATTAATATTTATAGGTCTCTATATTTAATTTGCAGTGATGCTACGTATGCAGGTGGGTGGGGATGTGTCTCTGAGATTACATTTGTCATTCTTTGACCCCACACGCTCTTCTTTATCAGTGCACTATCTTTATCAGTATGGACATGAAGTTCTTCTGATGATCGTTGATACTAAATAGGTCAAAACAACTCATGCCCATTGCACAATCAGTTTAATGTCCCTAGTGATATATGCTTTACCTGCCATGTAACAAAATGTCACATGGAATATAAACTTAATATGAAATGTTAATAAAGAATGATGTGTTCAAGATGTCCTACAAAATGTGCACGAACATCTAACGATGAATATCCTTTATAGGATTGAATTACCTTAACAAAGTCCCCATACACAACATGTGTATATAGGGCAGTGGGGTAGACCAGTTTTTTAAAGCGTTACCCCGTGACGCCGAAGACCCGGGGTCGATTCCTAACTATGGGTACAATGTGAAAAACCCATTTCTGGTGACCCCCGCCCTGATGTTGCTGGAATATTGCTAAAAGCGGCGTACAATCACTCAATCACTCACTCACAAGTGTAAACACACCTTGACTGAGACGAAGTTGCCGTCGGTTCTGATGTAGATTCCAAGAAGTGGCAGCTCGATGTTGTAGAGCTCTTCCAGGGCAATCTTCACAGCAACAGCAGCCCTGATAACAATGGGGTTAGATGGAGTCATTGTCTAAGACATCTTGGTACCTGACAGAAGGGAATACAACACCTGGTGTCCGAGATACGGCACTACACTGAAATACTACGCCTGACACCCGGAAATAGAGCATATGGCACCGATATCACACATAAACACTGCAACTGAAACCCATGTAATACTATACCTGACACCCAGGAAAAGAACAGATTCACCCAGGGACAACACACATGCCATCCGTAAACACTAGGCCTGACACCCGCTTATACTAAAACCTGACACCCAAATACCACTGTTCATGGTTACAACGTCAGACCTTGGTGTCCTATGACCCTTCATCTCTCGCACGACACCTGGAAATCGTGAGTCGATCAATGTGACAGCTACTTTGCACTTACTCTCCATAGCTGACGGTCTTCTCTATCACGAAGGGCTTGGTGCGGGTCACGGTAACGGGGTCTCCGTTAACACTGAGAGTAGCGCCGGCTGTAGTGGAGGCCAATCGGATTGTCTTACCCTCGGCAATAATCTCCAGGATCTGTATACAGGGGTTTATGCAAATTATAAAGGCAGCATACACATATACACCCAATGCAATAGTTGCGAGGCAGCAGGCTGGCCTTTCTGGTCACGTGTTCATCCTGTACAGCCCTGACTATAACGGCTAGGAAACGTTTTAACGTCAAACGTTTGAACGTCAAATATATCGAACAAACGTGAGTTCTGCCAGATATATATCAGAAAACTGTTAGATAAATGAACTTGTAGGTTGAAAAAAGGGTTACCCTCCGTCAAGGATCTACTGAGACACGTCCAAATATGAACCGTTGCATTCCACTTGCAGATGAACGATGACGGGGTGTTCTGAGTTCGTGGACAATGACATTATAACATGCGCTATAATACAGACGCAATTGGAATTAGGTTTTAATTGTAGCACAGAGCTATTGAAGCGTTTCAGTTTCCTATGGGAAGAGAGATTCTGATGAAAACCGTACACGAGACAGCTTTTGAAGGTGATAAAACATGAATCATAATCCGAACAATTTGAGATTTACACTCACGGTCAGCGTAAGTAAAGGAACGCTTAAATTTAATCATCAACCATAAAAAGTAGAAATAACAAGTTTCAGTAAACTCAAAAAAAGGTTGAAACGTTCCAGTGTTAACAGGAATGCGATTTCAGTATTGGATCGATGACATTGAATTGCATTCCACATACTGGGAGGCAAAAAAGCACAGAATCCAGAATCTTTTATATCTACCTTTTGGCTGAAATCGTCAGTGGTGGTGCTCATAGTGATAGCAAACGTCTTGGAAGGCGAACAATCCATGGCCAGGACGGCGGGGCAGGTGCCAATATTCGGAAGTGTGTACTCAACACCATCAAACGTGCGAACACTCTTGAAGTAAGTCTTGCAGGTGGCTGAAATGGAAATTCTGGTTTAAACGACGTTAGGAGTATTATTTCAATGTTCTTGAGTGTACGTCATGTAGCTGCTATGTTGTTGAATGTACGTCATGTAGCTGGTATGATCTTTCATGTACGTCATGTAGCTGCTATGTTGTTGAATGTACGTCATGTAGCTGGTATGTTGTTGAGTGTACGTCATGTAGCTGGTATGTTGTTGAATATACGCCATGTAGCTGGTATGTTGTTGAATGTACGTCATGTAGCTGCTATGTTGTTTAACGTACGTCATGTAGCTGGTATGTTGTTGAGTGTACGTCATGTAGCTGCTATGTTGTTTAATGTACGTCATGTAGCTGGTATGTTGTTGAATGTACGTCATGTAGCTGGTATGTTGTTGAATGTACGTCATGTAGCTGGTATGTTGTTGAATGTACGTCATGTAGCTGGTATGTTGTTGAATGTACGTCATGTAGCTGGTATGTTGTTGAATGCACGTCATGTAGCTGGTATGTTGTTGAATGTACGTCATGTAGCTGGTATGTTATTTAATGTACGTCATGTAGCTGGTATGTTCTTGAGTGTACGTCATGTAGCTGCTATGTTGTTTAATGTACGTCATGTAGCTGGTATGTTGTTGAATGTACGTCATGTAGCTGGTATGTTGTTGAATGTACGCCATGTAGCTGCGATGTTGTTGAATGTACGTCATGTAGCTGGTATGTTGTTGAATGTACGCCATGTAGCTGGTATGTTGTTGAATGTACGTCATGTAGCTGGTATGTTGTTGAATGTACGTCATGTAGCTGGTATGTTGTTGAATGTACGTCATGTAGCTAGTATGTTGTTGAATGTACGTCATGTAGCTGCTATGTTGTTGAATGTACGTCATGTAGCTGCTATGTTGTTTCATGTACGTCATGTAGCTGCTATGTTGTTGAATGTACGTCATGTAGCTGGTATGTTGTTGAATGTACGTCATGTAGCTGGTACGTTGTTTCATGTACGTCATGTAGCTGTTGAGGTGTTGAATGTACGTCATGTAGCTGGTACGTTGTTGAGTTCACACAGCCTACTTGGAAGGTAGGGTCCGAGATATGGAGCCAGCGTCAGTCGTGTCTGCAGCGCAGGTCTGGTCATGGCGACGGGGACGGTGAGGACAGTAGTCAATGGAGTCTGGATTCCGTATAGACACGTTGTATCGTTGGGTGTCATGATGAACCAGTCACTCTACAACGAATTAAGTCGCATGGTAAATAATTTTAAAATCGCGAGAGGATTTGTTTGCTTGTCATCAAACGCCGCACCTACCAATATTCCAGCTATATGGTGGCGGTCTGTAAATAATCGAGTCTGGACCAGATAATCCAGTGATCAATATCATGAGCATCGGTCTACGCAATTCATGTTACGATGACACGTGCCAACCAAGTCAGCTGGTCTGACCACCCGATCCCGTTAGTTGCCTCTGATGCCAAGCATGGGTTTCTAAAGCCCAATTCTAACCCGGATCTTCAAAGGTTTCGCCAAAGGAACCTAGACGGCGACTACACTGAGTGGGTTGTCAGTTTGTTGTAGCCAAAACATATCCGTAGCTTTTGACTTAATTCACTCTCAGGTAACATTTCAATAGGACTCTTACAGGAAGGCTTCATGTTTTCTGTAGTGGTTAGTTTTACAAAGGGTTTACCGTAGACATGTTGAGGACAATTCGAAATTTGATGAACCAATGGTTCAAATGTTGTTCTATGCCATTCCCTATTGTGACCTGTACACTACGTTCCCGTGTCTTTGACCAATAAACCAGCCGTTGTATTTGTTGATGAAGCCTCTAGCCTGGACAGTATATGTTCACCTTTTCAAAGAGCGTCACTCTTGCTCAAAGTTACATCATTCAAGGCCTCAGTAAAACTTTCAAAGCATTTATGGACATGTGGAGGAAATTTAAACATTTGACTCATCACTGACAAAAATGATGTCCGATGCAATTCCCTATTTGGACTTGCACTTTTCAAGTGAACAATCGACTAGACTGCATATGTTTATTGGCACAAGATTCGTTCTACTTGTCCAGAACACGTGGTGACTATTTGTCAGGTATTCGTTGACACATGCTCATGATATAGTCGGATCTGCTTTTAGCAGAAATTGCTTACTGATGTGAAGAGGGTTTTGTCGCTCTCTTTCCTGAGTAAACACGCATTATGCATTAAACGGGTTTACTAATTCTCATAATGATAGAATGAATGAAACATCTGTAGTACTAGCATTTTCAATTCTGGTAATAGCAGCACATAAACGTTACTCTCTTCACAGTTTTGTAGCCCATAGGTTGTTAATGTTCTTAGTAACACTGACTGACTGACTGAGTTTGGTTTTACGCCGCTTTTAGCAATATTCCAGCAACATCACGGCGGGGGGACACCAGAAATGGGCTTCACACATTGTGCCCATGTGGGGATTCGAACCCGGGTCTTTGGCGTGACGAGCCAACGCTTTAACCACTAGACTACCCCACCGCCCCTCTTAGTAACAAAGTGAAGCAACGGCGGGATTGTGATAGTAACATATAACTGTAAATCAGTAAAGTCACTCACTGCGGGATTGTCAATTCTTGCTTCGTTCATGATATGGATCAGACCAGCTTTCCTCTGTACGGCGGGCTGGGTAGCAGAGTTCCAGTAATGCCATGCTGTGAAGAAGTGAGTCATTCTGTGTAGAGTCAGGCCCGCCGACTCCGAGATGTCAACCTTGCAACAAGAGTTAGTGAGTCAGCCATTGTGTTACGTCGCATCTATGATATCATTTCAGGTGATATATAATTATAATTATGTGTACTATGACAAACTTTCATCAAATAATATACGCCAGTCTAAGACGCCAGTGACTCAAGTATCTGCCAAACCAGATTCCACTTGGCCTCAGAGGCAAATTAGTGGGTAATGATTTGAATGGATCACTGAAAATTAGCGAGGTCACCTGCTCAGTAAACTAGTTTGTAACGAACACGCACATAACGAACTGTTTGTCCTGGCAACCTGCTATATCTTTAAGCCGAAACGTGAATAACGAAGAAGGGGTTATAACATACTACAATTACTTGTCTCTCGGGGTTCGTTATAACCGGAATATACGGTTTATTGTATTAGCTTAATGACCAATGGGTGTTCTGTAATCACCCTGGTTACAGATGTTTACATATCAAAAGGAACTCGGTGAGATTGTTTAACATTTGATGATTGCTCAGATACACGATAATGACTCTCTTTCCCATATCTAGTCCTTGTCTGAATCTGGTCACCCGAGATAAGGCATAGATTTGTCCACGACTGTACTGATAATATAAACAGTATCCACAAAAACGCTGAATTTATGTAATTTATGTAATTTATGAAAATAGTAAAACCTGAGCTTTCGTACAATAAGCTAGTTATATGATTTCAGCCAAATAGCTACAATAGCGAAATGAACCGCGTCACCCAATAAAGGTTTAAAAGATATAAGAACGGTGTCATTGTACATAAGACTGTCATAAGCACATGTTAAAGTATGGGAGTTACATCCACGTCAGAGCTGATATCGAAGTATTTGTTTATCTAAGATAGGATAAACCGAACAAAAGATGGTAGATAAGCACGTACTGGGTTATACTCGGCAATGACATGTCTGTGGTTGAGAGAGTTCAGAAGGTGGTAGATGGGATGTTCTGGGATGTCCTGAATCACTTCCGCTTCTTCACGGGCAATGGCCAGCTCTACTCCTTCGTTCCTTGACATCGGGCATACCTGTTGGCTCTCCCACAGCAGCTGTTCTATGCTCTTGCTTGCATACAGCTGAAAGATTGACAATGACTGTTGCAGCATAGCTGTGTTGTTCAATACGTTAGACCGATTTAGAAACTATTTCTTTTATACATAATCATCACTTAAGAAATGCTTTTTTGAATTGATGAATTCAACCATATTTTACCCTTAATTACAAGTGCTTGTTAATATGATATCTTGCAACACTTTAATATGCAAGATTCTATCAACTGTTTGTGTACCTTCATTATGATCGTCTTTGGTGTCCTACCAATGTCGCCAAACGTGATGTTGCAGTATCCAGTGATGGCAAGAGGAAGGTAATTCGATTCCATTTTGGTAATGGGATTAATTGGAATGAATGGAACGCCTTGGGGGTCTTCATGGGTGGCATTGGCTTCACGTCACCCATCTCAACACTGCCTATCATGACAACTCTTGCCAGTTCTCCCTGCATGTCCTCCAGCTCAAAGTTGGTAGCCAATGGGTTGTCCAGTTCCGTTTCTGCAGATGTCACCAACTCTTTCAACCTTTTCAGGACTTCTTGTTGAACAGTAATGACATGAGCGAACATAGGACTGAGGCGTCCGAGGGGTAGGCCCCACAACTGGATCCAGTCAATCTTACCCTGAATACCTCTGCAAGTATTAATAATAGTCGCCAGCGTCGGTTGAATGCTCACCAGAGCCGCTCGTTTGCTTGCTGCGGCCAAGCGTTCTATTTCCGTCCGAATTTCAATTTGCTTTTGGGTTGTTACGCTTATCGCCATCTCCACTATAGCTTCGGACATCGGCATGGCAGCTGTGACCTCAGACTGCGAGGCTGTACTCCAGATCTTTTCAAAAGCAGCCGTTGTTTTAATTTCTAGCGATTCAATGGTGACAAGGGTAATATCGCATTTCCTGATGATATCAATGCTCCTTGCGATCTCCGAGCTGTAGAAAAGGTTGCTTTTAACGTATACCTTCAGTTCCGTTACGACATCACGCAGCTGGTAAATAGCAACTATTGTCTTCTCAAAGATGCTGACAGTTGGCTCAACATTCGACGAAATCAGTTTCTCTGCAATGATTTCCACTTTGGTGGCCATTTCCACAGCAAATTCAACCACACTGTCAGCTATCGAGAAAATCTGTTCCGGAACTTCCAGAGAATTGGAGTTAGGCGTGTACATGCTCAAGCTGCTAACTTTGCTCATCTCGAAACCAACTTCCATCTGTATCGTCTGGAGTATCTTCACAGTTGCCAAATCACTCTCGCTGAGTACTGGAGTTAGAGCAAACAGCTCATACTTGAGCTTCACCAGAACAGCAGATGCGACTGCCAACTCTGACATTTGGGCTTTTAAGGCGCGCATGACGTGGCTGAATTGGCTTTCATTAGTTGGAGATGGTATCACACTATTTTTCTCAACGAGACTGTCCAGTGCATGGTACACCATAGTATGCTGAATAGCAAGTTTGGTAAGAATTGGCACAACATCGAGATCAATATTCGCAGATGTTTTCAAGACAGTGGCAAGTACGGGAATTGTTTCCTTTGCCATACCAACAACATCAACGACAGGCTGCAATGATGGATACGATGTGACTTTTCCAGTTGCTTTGATTGTCTTCAGAACACTAAACTGATTCTCACTAATTCTTTCGAACTTTGGCCACAGCTTTGTCAATGTTACCTCCATAGTTTCTGGTGGGGGAGGAATCTTTGACAGGGTCTCTGCATGTTGGATCATTTGTTCATCGAGGTTTGAGATCAGCTGCAAGCCCTTTGAGTACAATGTTTCAGCTTCAGGTACGATGCCCATCTTTGATGCTCTTAAACAAACTCTCGTGACTATTACAAGGACCTTATAATGTTCACAAATGCAATACTCCAACACAGGTATTACGAGAGATGAAGCAGGGGGGTCCTGTGCCAATGCCTGAAGCTTCTGGATAATTGTCAATTGGATCTTCTCTATTTCTGCCAGCTTTGCAACAATGGTATCAACATTCTTAAGGACAAAGATGGGATCAACAGCCCTCTGCCACACGTTATTTGCCCATTCTGTAAGTACGATAATATTTCTCCATTCAGGGATCAGGGCGCGGACTTCGGTGCTGTTCGACCTGGCAAATATCTGGAAGGCAAGCTTCTTCAAAAGTTCCTCTGGTTTGGGGTTTCCAGTGAGATGCTGGATCCTCCTCTTAAGCATGGTCACTACGGTCTGGTTGACTTGTGCCAGCACCGGGCGGTGGCTCATAAAACGAGTCATGAACTGGAGGTCTTGCTGTATCTGGGTGTGGTAGCTTGGGTCCAGAAGCATCTTTGGCTCAATGAGGCGGTTCGGGTACTGGAGCATAACCTGCGTAATCATCTGGAACAAAAGTTATTGAACGAAAAATTATTTTTGAAATCTGGAAAAAAAATTCGGTTCAATATTCTTGGTAAAGAAGCTTTTAAAAAGACAAATTTGGTTTCTGAGTGGACCGTCGTTTTGTACATAAAACGGAAAAAGTGATTAACTCACGGCCTTTTTCACCCTCTTCCTGTTTTTGTAATGTTTTGCACTTCTTTTCACTATTGCGATATTGCGCTTGATGAGTAGTGATGGTAATTTGGTTAGGCTACGGTTTTGTAAATATTTGTTTATATATTGTATCGTTACTTCAGACCCACCTCCCACGGCATAGGGTATGCTGGTAGAGCTGTTCTAGCAACCCTGAAGACCATTTGGTGCATATGTCCCCTATTAATTGACTGCCATAGAGTTTCAAACTGAATCTTTCTCGGAATGGTTTGTGAACTGGCATCAATAGTGGCAATTACTCCCCACTTGTGCCCAACAGGGCTTAGCTTGAGACTGTCGCCCAGCTTAGCTTGGAGTTTGGCCTTGAGTTCGGAGATGCTGATATCCTTAGCACTGAGGTCTGGGAAGTCTTCCAAAGAGGCTGCTCCTTCGATGACCCTGGGATCAGTGACATCCTCCTCTGCGCAGGACACATAACAAAGGGTGAGACGACCAATAGCGCAGTCACAGCTGGAGACGACATTTTCCGATCCTCCTGGTTGTTTGATAGGTGTGCCAGCTGCAACCTGAGCCTGGAAGACCACGGCCTCTGGCGGGCTGGGGCCGGGCTTCACAAACACCTGTACTGAAGAACGTCCAGCCATGGGGAAGGACGGGACGATGTTACTGCCATATGGACATGCATGTGAGACACGTGCAACAATGTTCAGGCCCATGGTGCTGTTCCCGTACTGGACAAGATCCTGTGACAGATGGAAGGATAGGTCATTGGTTGTTGATACTGATACAACATATGGAGCCTACACGGATAGTAAAGTGTAGTTGTTACTACTCTATCTTCTGTAATTATATATACATAGACCTCCAAATCCATACATACTAAACTTGTCTGTTTCCATTCCACAGAATGTGGGGTTTATGTAGACTATTATGATCAGTATTATCAAACATTGTGATTGCTGATTACATGTTTGGTAGTTCTGCTTTTAGCTATTGAATATCATCCATTTTACTCCTCCCTATGAATGAAATATGTTGGAGAAACGTTTTTGTCTCTATGTTACTTAATTACTGGATATAGTTGACGCTATACACTTGAAATGAATTGTATATATCCAATATGCATCCAACCTCAATAACTCTGGCGCCCTCTGCAATCTCGATTATCTTCTCTTGGTTTACAGGGGTGATGGTTTGGAAGGTTAAGGGGAAGCACACCATCTCTACTATCGGCTCATTCTGCAAATATAATAGCGCAAGCTCGTTAAAGACATTTTCTGGAAGAAAAGGCCGTTTAAATACGTACTACCAAATTCTTTTAAATAATTTATAGCGGATGAGAGGCAGAATAGTATCTCGAATAAAAAATGCTACGATATAAATAGTCCAATTCCAAGTTGACACAATATAATATACATACGTTTGTATGTAAAACGTTATACGTTTGTATGTAAAGCGGTCCCTGTGAAATCAATACACAACACAAACCGGTATACAATTAACATTTGCGCCATAAAACTAGATTTACAAATCAAATGCAAATGTCTGTAAAGTAATCACACAACTTGTTCAGAATGTGACATCACAAATTCAATGATTCGAATGGGAGTACGGAATGGCAATAGTAAAGTACAGTTACGCTTAGCACGAGAGCACGAAGCGCTCTTGTGAAATGTGATTTTCAAGTGCAACTGCTACGTGTTTAAAATATTGTCATGGTTTTACTCGAACCTTCACTTTCAACATCAAGATGTCTTAGATCCTGTATCACGTACCTGGATCGGGGAACAATGGCAGCAATAATCTTCCTGCTGGCCAGATGTGCAGTCACCTCGCCATCAAGAGGGGCATTAACTTTGGTTCTGACACGCAGACCAGCCCCGACTCCCGTTTGGAAGGCGTGAACGGCAACATACCCGTTCAGCTCCATCACAGCACTATTACAAAGCAAAACACCACGTGCAATTACGTTCCCGAAAAACAAAAGTATACATCCATGCCTGGTTGCTATTATGACGCGACTGGTGATATATTTTGTACGGGTCTGCATTGTTTCGATGACTTTTTTCTGTAAAGTAATGTTTGAAAACCATTTGGGTCAAATCTTGATTTAATGCGTAAATTTTGTTTTACGAAGTAGTCTCGATCATGAAATGTGTCTATTGTAATGATCGGCATGGTCAAGTGTAATATTTCCAAAAGGGGCAGTGGTATTTGTGTTCTTTACTCCGGATAGATTTATTTGTGACGTATAAAGGTAATACAACATCACTGTCTATATAATAACGTAAGTAATAGATATATATTCGTTGAATAGAATCTGAATTGAACACATATCTATCTTAGTGATTTCAGTCTTTCATTAGTTTTGTATCTGCACGGAATTGTAGAAATTATCATACATTCATAACAATTATAATAGAAGCAGATTTAAATGACTCAAATATTTGTGATTGATCAGTGTGTATTTTGTGTTCAAGAGCGTCATTCATTGTTGATATGATTCACATTTATGTTTAATGAAATTGTATTATTACCAATAGTGCAGCTTCAGAAGCACTGTATTTTACCTTGGACGAACTTTGAAAATGGCTTTGGCTTCAACCGGTGCGGATTGTCGTCTGCTTTCGAACAGAGCAGGGGTGACCTTGGCGATGGCATTGCCCTTGACCTTGATGGCGGCAGTGGCGGCGAGTCTGGCTGACACGGGCATACCAGCCTCCGTGGGGAGAAGAATGTCGGCATCTCCGAGGAACAGAGACTCGTGGACGTCAATTGGAACCTCGATTCCGGCCTCTGTCTCCTTGTACCTCAGGGACACTTTGCCTGAAGAATGAGGACGTGAAAGAGTAAATCAGTTTGGTTTTTAGGTCACTTTGATCGTTATATCACAATATAATGGAAGGATCATATGATAGGGGAAGAAGCAGAATTAGGACCCACAATCAGAGGTTTCTTGATCACCGCAGCGAACTGCAGTATCCTTTTGCAGAGATACATATGTTTCGAGTAAAGTGCTAATAAATAGAGATTTATTGTCAGTGTCGAACCGCGTATGAACAGAATCTTTCAGTGGACCGCCATTATATATAGTGCGTAATGACATGAAGCCATGTTGGTCGCCACACTTCGGTCACACATTCGAAAAAAGCAAAACAATAATAATATTGGGTACCTCATAGTTAAAGAAGCCATCTCCTTGACACCAAGTTTGCCGTTTTCGTGTCTTGCACTGACAACACTATCCCTACTGATAAACTGACTTAGACGGTTGTAAATACAGAAAATGTCTTTTATAAATATCCCGCCGTTGGGATTCAAGGCTGAAAAAACACAAGTGCTATCTCCCAAATGGCATTCCGGGACAAAAGGTTCCAAATTCCTTTTATAAGCCCAAGAAGTCACACTGGCGTCTCATGGCTGACTTTACGACATCGATTACGTGGATAGTTTCTCATACCATTAACCACCATCTTTCTGGCTTCGGTTGACTTATCTACTCGAACATCTACAAACTGATTATCACCGTTGTGCCATTGCTGGGTTATTCTATTTAGTGGTATGATTGGTTGGTTGATTGGTTTGTTTACGCCGCACTCAGCAATATTCCAGCTATATGGCGGCGGTCTGTAAATAATCTGGACCAGACAATCCAGTGATCAACAGCATGAGCATCGATTTATACAACTGGGATAAGATGACATGTGTCAACCACGTCAGCAAGCCTTGACCACCCAATCCCTTCAGTCGCCTCTGTCGATAAGCATGGGTTGCTGAAAATCCATTCTAACCCGAATCTTCAGGGGTCACCCGCTTAAGAACATCACTTTCCTTGTCACGTACGGGTGATAGGGATTGAGGAAACTTAAATATTCGCAAAGACGTGTACATGTTGAAACAGAATAGGTAGGAAATTTGTACCTGTAGTAGCCAATTTCTCCAGAGTTTCGTCCAATGAGAAGTAACGGAGTTCATGCCCGAACATCTTGACGTAGACGGAGCCTGTTGGAGTAGGAAGACGTCGCGGTTTCACCTTCAGCTGAAATGAGTTTAAATATTATTAAGGACTTGTCAACTATTGTAGAATATTAATTTCCCTTAAATTAATAAACAAGTTCAGTTACCATTAGAACAAGTTCGGTTACCATTAGAACAAGTTCGGTTACCATTTGAACAAGTTCGGTTACCATTTGAAAGGAGGTAACCAGGGTTAATGGTAAACTTTTATAAGTACCAGAAGTTATAAAGAAAAATGGGATGTTTCTTTAAGTGGAATTTAGAAGCTCGTATAATGAAGAGGAATAAAAAATAACCCTTTTCTACCCTTTGTCTGTGTGGCTCCATAGCCAGTATCTATAATCACAACCATCGGTAATGTCATCACACTGTACATCAACCACTTCACTTGTATAAAGTCAACTATCCTTCGTGTGTTTAGTTTCCTTGTGCATAATATTGTGTACGACTTGCTTGATAACGGCGTTAGCATCTATACCAACACGCCCTATCTATCCTAACGGCGTTAGCATCTATACCAACACGCCCTATCTATCCTAACGGCGTTAGCATCTATACCAACACGCCCTATCTATCCTAACGGCGTCAGCATCTATACCAACACGCCCTATCTATCCTAACGGCGTTAGCATCTATACCAACACGCCCTATCTATCATAACGGCGTTAGCATCTATACCAACACGCCCTATCTATCCTAAAATAGTATGTTCCTCTTCAACCTGGAATGTTGCCTGACGTCAACAACAAATGTGAAAAGTAGTACTTGCCCTCTCTGTGAGTTCCTCCACGTTTGCAGCGGTTTCAGGGCTCCTTCTGACTCTAGGCGCAAGGATGTCAAGGAAAGATTTCCTGTTTGTCAGGACGCCCTCAGGCCCGAACAGTTTCTCGAGAGCGGTTTCAAATCCCTCTGTGTATACACCAACCTGAGCATAATCACAAATGCAAGGTGAAACAGTGTGATGTAATAAGTCTCGCGATTTATCACGATTCTGTTGCCATAATTTTCACAAATACTATTTTTCTAATAACTTACCTTTACTACATTCAAATTTCAAATGGTGTTGTTGTTTGTTATATTTCAGAGCTTTGTTTTATAAGATGATATTCTGATTTAAGACGTAAGAAAGACTTGTAACCTCGAGGATGTTGGCGGACATGCCGAAGATGTGGGTGTTGAGCACGGTGCTGATGGCCTTGGGAAGGATGCTACTGTTGGAGCCAATGATGCCCAACTGGGCGCCAAATCCGACACGGATCTCAGCTAGAAAACATTGTAAAGGAGAGTAAATAGGAGTTACAATGGTGACGCTTTGGTAAATAAGTGAGTGAATTGGTCTAAGTCCGCTTTAAACAGTATTGCAGTTATATCACGGGCGAACCTGGGATTCGATCACAGGACCATAGCTGTTGGTACACAAATTCTGCACAGCTAATAAGCACTGGTCATACGACTGGGCCCTAGCGACTTCCTCTTTGCAGAAAAGCGTGCTGGATAGCTTGTGCGCATTCGTAACTATTCGTCCCTTTCCGTAACCTGAAAAAAGGACTCGTACCCCTCTCGTAGCCATGTCCGGGAGAAATATTCCCCCAGCCAATCAGAATGTGCGTATGTAGAGAAGAGATTGGGTCAAATAGTCAGTTGAAATATTTTTCATTTCGGCTCGCATATTTTTTTCCAAGACACTTCAAGTGTATTTTAATTACTGCATAGTCCTCCTGGGTTTCCTGATTTTTATAACCGGGATATATTTACATTATGGCGTAGGAAAGTATTTAAGCATGTTAAACATACTCTTTGAGGTAATTTCCTTGGCGTGGTTGCCATGTGTGTTTTCCAAGTAAACTAAAGTTACATGCCCTTGACAATAGTTCGGCGACTAGACTATTTCTTTCTCTCTCTGCGCTTTTCAAGTAAAATGGCTACGAGAGCGGTACGAGACTTCTTTCAGGTTACGGAAAGGGACGAGTAGTTACGAATGAGCTTGTGCGATGAATCAGGTAGCCATTTTAGTAAACAAGAGGATTCCGGAATGGGTCATTTGTCCTATGAGCGAGTGAGTGAGGTGGGTTTAATGCCACTTTGAACAGTATTCCATTTATATGAGGCGTCCGATACTTGATCTGGGTACAGTTAACGTGGGGTTTTTTAAAAATAACATCCAGGGGAGACAACTAGAGAGTGTAGTATATATACAACTTACGACTTGCACTGTACATCTCCAGGGTTCGGAAGGCGGAGTACTGCAGACCAGGGGCAACTTTCGGTGCCATGTGAATTGCTCGGGCGGACTCGAGGGCGCTGGAAAGATAGCATACATATACCGCGGCCTGACTGTACGCTGCTTTTGTCGAACTCACGTGTACGTTAAACGAGAAGGAGACTGCGTCATTTATGATGTAAAGTAACATAGGCATTAAGGTCTGTATATAATTATTCTTTTTACGTAATGACGTGCATGCATATGTGTGGATTTCATCCCCCTAGATGCTGAACACAAGGTAGGGAAAAAATATGTACCATTTCTGGGTGTCTGAAGATCGAACCATCGACATTCACCACAATTTCTATCCACTAGATCACTAGGCGTTAGATAAAACTGCATTAAAACTCCACGCTTCTCCCTGATAAACTTGGAGTGCAGTGCACTATAACGAATATATATTTTTTGCTTCACGGCTATTGCTGATGGATAACAATCACGAAGGCATTGGTGAGAAGCGAACTGATTTTCTATTTATTATTTGGCCTGTGTCTATTAACACTCCTTGTATCCTTTCACCAGTCTGCATCATGTAAAGTGTACTGTGTTAATGGCTTCTCCCAGCCATGCCCCTGTGATCGTAATGAGGTGTATAATGTTCATCAGTTTCAAATTGTGTCTGATGCAACATACGTTTTGCTACAATACTCAGGAGCAGTATAAGGCTAATGTGGTCTACATTGTTTGTTGTGGTTTGTCTACATGTTTTGTGTGTGTACACAGCCATAGCATCTATTGTAATCTGCAAAAACACACTGATCACTGGATTGTCCGATCCAGTCTCTATTATGTACGGGCCACTGTTATATAGAAGGAATACCGCTGGAATAAACAATAAAGGTAGCAGTGCGACTACAGGGGACTCACAGTGTCTGGAAGCAGGGATGGGTGGTATTGGCCATGGTCTCGAGGAAGGTGTACAGGTAGGACGCGACCTGGAGGTCGGGCTCACGTGCGATGTGGCGCGCAAACATTTCGATGATGGGCCTTGCTGGTTTGGCCTTCATAATGACAGTGAAGATAGCGATCCTGATGGCCGCGGAGTCTGTAGTCGTCATGAACACAGGGATGAGAGGCTCGATGACCTGATGGACAGACAGTATCACCTGCATACTGATTGACAAGGTAATGTGCTGATATTCACTCTCAGCTATATTCCAAATTCATGGTGGTGATCGGATACGTTGAATAGGACTTACCAGATTGGGTATGGTTCTAACGATTAACGGATCTTAGCTGGGAGCAATTTAGCAGTAAAGGGACACAACTCTGCCTCGTAGTCGTTACCTTATATTTCCTTCTATACTGTTTTGAGTCACCATTGCAAAATACAAGCAGAAAGGTGAATTGAAATCGGTGCATTATAAATGCTAGTAGTAGCAGTAGTCGTGGTGGTGGTGGTAGTAGTAAATTTAGTATAGTGTTTATATCTTACGAAAAGCATGGTCAATATTGACGACATCAATGGAAAATATCAAATACTTTTAATGAAAATGTATCCTCTTATGATTTATATTTCCCTCGAATTATGTGCGATAGTGATGCATAACTTGATGACGAATTGATATAACATAAACTGGAATACTGGATCCAGTAGGTGCCGTGCAGTACCGATGCAACCAACTCACCATGGTGGGAGCAAACTCCGCCATCCTGTGCAGGGCGAACACAGCCATGAATCTGACAATCTCTGGCAGGTCGGCGTCGGCGATGACGGTGGTGCAGATGGGGATGAGTTCAGGCAGACCGGCGTTACCTGCTGTCTTCAGTGCCATGATCTTCGGTTCCACTCCGGCTTTGCTCAGCTGGGTTCTTATGAGCTGCAAACAGAAGCAGTGTAGAAACGTCAGTTTAAGTGAGTGAATTGTGGTTAAAGGCGCTTTGAACAGTTCTTCGGTTACATCAGGGTGCGTCGACTTAATGTGAGAGAAAAACCCGAAGTAAATCAGATATGAGAGGCAAATTTCTTTGGAAAAACTGACAGAACGGGTCTGGTGCTGACACACCTGGAATCACATAATCATCGGAACCTGGGATTCGAACCTACTCCAATGATGCTGCCACGTCTGTTGGACCTGCGTCCCCTTTTAAGGGGGTGAAACTGGTGATAAACACTTGGAGAACATAAATCAATAAACAGGATAGATCTGGCGAAATCCCCACACTAGCAAATGAAACAGTAGTAGCGAACTATGCCGTGTACAGGACAATGGATAAAACTGGTTGTAGTTTGATACTGATACTGATACTGACACCGCGGGTCTAGACTACTAGTTGTCCGACTTCCATTTTTGTGGAAGTTGCGATGGCTGAGTTGGTTAGGCGTCTGACTTTGTGTGCTGGCGAATAGGTGACTGACTGAGGGTGTGGGTTCGAATCCCGGATGGGACTCAATCCAACAAAAGTACTACAATCTGTACTGTACTGAGAAAGTGTAATCCAAAACATATGTTACATTTGACCACTTTCTAAATGCCACTGTGTATTTATAGGTAATTGTAAAGTTTTGATTTTACCAAAATTTTAATAACTGGTTCATTTATGAGATTTTAAAATTTACGTTAGAATGACATTATTCAAAAGATGACCAGATAGTCAGCTGGTGTAACGAATCATGGAAATATATTACTCTGAGAAATGCGTGAAGACTTAGTTTCAGTATAGCAATACACCCTGAAGAATGATCCTTGGCCTACCCCAACAATCCTTGATCGGGTCTCACTGTAGAGCTTCGTCACATCTTGCTGCCTGGTGAGCAAATGTTCCTTCAATGCCGCGAGTTCTTCCCTGGCGATGGAGTCCTTCTCGTGAACCAGTATCTCGGTGAAGGTCGGGATGGTTTCAGACAGGGTCTTGAGCTCGTGCCTCTCTGTAGCTACCAGCTTGTTGGCGATGACACCAATGCTAAGCCAGACCGAACGCACGAACTGTGGTTCCTCGCTTTCTCCCAGATCAGTAGCAACAGTCTGGACAATAACGACAAAAACGTCATTAACAAACAGAGTTATATTGATATTTTACTCAACTAGTTTACGCTTTTTGCACTGTTATTGACAGCGGTCAGACAAACGAAATGGCCTTTGGTCAAGTACTCCCGACACCAAAGGCTATTATTTAACTATTTTTGTGGTCAGTTATAGCGTTTTACACCCGCTTTAGCAATGTTCTCACAATATCAAATCGGGGGAGAACAAATATGGGCATAGTAAATAATGAATATAGTCATTACACTATATTTGAGTCTTAAGGGACCTAGTTTCTATGTATTTAATGCTTATGTACCTGAAGAAATCGCGTGTTTATTTTTCAACGGGATTATAAACAGAGAGGTAGAGTAAAGAAGATGGCTCACCACCAGTCTGTCAATTAGGCTGCTGTTGGGTTCGTTTGCCATGGCGATGACGTTGATGAGGCCGGCGCAGTCAGTGGCGGGGATCTTCTTGGCCATGCATGTCTCAATGATCAGGTTGGCGGACAGGTAGTTGCCAGTAGCAGCCATGCAAGTCCACACAACCTTCCTGATACATGGGACAATTGCATTGGTAAACTTTAGTTGTCGGTTAGTACGTTACTTCTTTAAGTTAAATTTAGTAAGTGAGAGTATGGTTTTACGCAATATTTCAGCAATGTCACAGCGGTGGACACCAGAAATGGGCTTCACACATTGTACTCATGTGGGGAATCGAACCCGGTCTTTAACCATTGGACTACCCCACCGCCCAAATGGCATTTGGAAGCTGGTATGATGAAGACGAACACTTTTTTGTGGATAGACAATTTCTTTATTGCAATAGAAGCTACGTTTTGGTGTATATCCTGACATCCTTATCAAGCAGTGATGTTACTGCATTGTCGAAAATGTATGCATGTATCGATGCATGATTGTCATCCTATGAATACATTTCTTATCGTAATTGGACCGCCTCCGTGGTGTAGTGGTTAGAGCGTCCGCCCGGAGAGCGGAAGGTCGCGTGTTCGATGCCCGGCCGCGTCATACCAAAAGACGTTAAAATATGGTACTTGTTGGTCCCTGCCTGGCGCTCGGCAATAATGGGTACAACAAGGACTGGTCGGCTCGGAGTCAGTATAATGTGTCTGAGTGGGGTATTCACGCTTCACTGCGGCATGGTATCTCAGTGGGCTAGCACTATAAAACCAGCTTAAGTCTGGGCTAGTACAAGCAGCCGCACATACACATACACACGCATGCACGTCGTCATATGAGCCAAATATTCTCAAGCACGACGTTAAACCCAATTTCACCTCACCTCACCTCTTATCGTAAGTATGTGCTTGCTTTGTTTCGAGATTGGGAAAAGTATGGTTACCCGATGAGTGTAGGCCACTTAAACTGATGCCTCACCTCATGGCCTTCTCATCATCCGTTTCCGCAGTCTTGGGCATGGCGTAGGTCTCCCAGATGTCAGTGAGTATCGTCACGTTGGCTCGCCTCATCATGGTCACGGCGATGACGGGGAAGAGAGTCCCCTCACCCAAAACTGTTGGTCCCGTCATGCTCTGCGCGGCAGTCTTCAGGGAGTTGACAATCTACAATGGCATACATGATTGCCAAGGACTACATACGGTTAATGGATCACTGACAAATTCCAGTTCTCTTCCTCAGGTTGTGAAAACCAAACGCATCACCCATGGCGCTACTCAAGATAAAGCCAGTGAGTGATTTGGGTTTAAGCCTGCTTTGGGCAAGTTTCCTGGTTTAAATCACGAGAAAATCACAAAGCGATGCAGGTCTGTGGTGTAACCCACGAGTACTGCTATGGTAACGACAAACCTTGAACCCTAATCTGGGCGAAGCGGGATTCGAACCCATGATCATAGTTTCCTGGAGTGACAAGGGACGTAACTAGGTCATTGTTCTTTCAGTGTCCATTGTTGTCATTAACAATTAATTTATACTACATGTTTAACAATGATGTATAATTTACACCATAACTACTTTATTGATATTGGTTCACGGGCATCTTGAAAACATCTTGATCTTGGCTGAAAGCAATACGTGTGTACAAATTGAAAACATCTTGATCTTGACTGAAAGCAATACGTGTGTACAATATACAAATTGTGATTTGATATTCACGGTACGGTGATTTTCTCTGTTTATTTAAGTCAACGACAATTTTACGGACGAGGTTTGAGTACTAGTATATTTTATTGGAATCATGGTGTCTGACGTACATGTCTAGCCAGGATACGGATTCAGAACACCACTGGAGGTGCTACCAACTTACGTATTTCTTCCTGGAAAACATCATCTCATCTGTGTTGGGGATCTTCTGGGTAGTCGCAGCAAATGGGTACTGGTTGTCAAGGATATGTTCCGGCACAAACGTGATGACAGATCGGGGCACCATGGTCATTCCGGCGATACGAGTTATTTCGATGCTGTCAGTCAGATCCGTCGCCTCGGTCAAATACATTGTCTGGCTGAGAACGAAAATTCAGAAATGAGCTTCCATTTAGATTTAGAACCACTACAGATACACGCGTAACATGTTATGTATTATAGATAGGGTGAGATTGAGACTTGGTATATTATCAGGAAAGTCACAAAAATATGCTTTCACATTATAACTGTAAATTAGCCGTAATTTCTTCCTAATTTAGTTACTGTTCTGTGCTCTGATATGAAAATGATTAGGTTCTTCTAGATGTCACAGGGGATCGTCAAAGGTTCACCGATGTCAAGTGTTCCGACAGTCAGTTCCAGGAATACAACAATAATCCCTTGTGAACCTACGTGATGATGTTTGAAATGTACTCGCCAGAATACAATCTCCCAACCTCCACATATCAAATAATAAGAGGTAGTCTATGTTTGAACGTACTTAATGATGGTTGAGAAGTGGCCACGTTCGGCGGAGTACGGATAGAAGCTGACGTAGCTCTCCCCCACGGCGCTCAAGATGACGAAGTTCTTCCTGTTGCCCTTCAGGGTGTAGCGGACCTGCGCTCCCTCCGTCAGGGCCAGAGTCTGAAGGAGAGGGTCAAATTCAGATCATGAAATATGTGTCGTGTTCATACTACGCCATACTGTATATAGTCATTGTTCAGTCCGACCCTCGGACACTGACTTATAACCACAGTCCAAAACACACGTCTCATGGCACAATCTAGTTTGCACGGTTATCTTCTTCTACAAATGCATACCCGACACCCAGAAGGCATACTGACTCAGCAGCCCTCGACCCCATGAATCAAACAAGCATAGTTCATTGACCCAGCAGCCCTCGACCCCTAAATCAGACGCATATTGGACCCAGCAGCACCCCGCGCCCCTAAAGCTGACTCAGCAGCCCTCGACCCCATGAATCAGACGCATATGGATCCAGCGGCCCTCGACCCCATGAATCAGACGGATATGGGCCCAGCAGCCCTCGCACCCCTACATCAGACGCATATGGACCCAGCAGCCCTCGATCCCATGAATCAGACGGATATGGACCCAACAGCCCTCGCCCCCCTAAATCAGACGCATATGGACCCAGCAGCCCTCGCCCCCTAAATCAGACGCATATGGACCCAGCAGCCCTCGATCCCATGAATCAGACGGATATGGACCCAGCAGCCGTCGATCCCATGAATCAGACGGATATGGACCCAGCAGCCCTCGATCCCATGAATCAGACGGATATGGACCCAGCAGCCCCTAACGTCTCACCGTCTCTGCCATACACTCCGCACACTTGTGTACGGAGAACATGCTCTTGTACCAGGCAGGTCTCATGGAGCAGTTCTCGAAGTCCTTCGTCTTGGTGACGACCATGGTTCCCTCAGGCACCTCGAAGTTGAACTCCGGATCCTCTACAGTGTACTCCGTGCGGCACACGCCTGACGCGCTCATCTGCCACATAGTAACGACAATGTGTTTCAGTTAAGGAGTTGTGGCAGGCCATGACAGACAAAGGTGATCAACATTTCTTAATCCGCTAACAATTAGTTTCACTTCATTCACACGGGATACCTCTTATACAAAATATATGGTTTCTTGGAAACATCCGCTAACAATTAGAAAACCTAAGGTGATGCCACTTCATTCACACGGGATACCTCTTATACAAAATATATGGTTGGTGCTTTGGAAACGCTGATACGCTACAGCGTTTCTATTCGAAACAAATAAGGTATTCATAAACATTGAAAATCATCAGACAGGGGATATCAAGCGTTTCTATTACAAATCGTAATGCCCGCACCTGCTTCTTTAGAAGGATACCAAAGTCATTCATAAACATGGCAACCTCATCAGACATCAACTTATTTCGAATATAGAAGTTGCAAACTGGCAACCTCATCAGTACCATTCAGCATATTTGTATTTTTAATTACCTTGGTAACTAAAAATAACATTTTACATGCGAAAGCCTTTATTGTGTTCGGGAATAGATACGTTTAAATTAATGAAGGAGATCGCGCAAATCCACCACCCAATGGCTCCAGGAACCCTGAGTACTATCATTGGGATGTGTCGCTCAGGCTTTACCTATCACCTTCGATATTCATTCACTTTACGTTATCTACAAAAATGTAAATCTACTAAGCTCCCTTTGTGACAGTGCGCTAAGGGTTGATTTGCTAGTTCTAGTATGTGATCGTCCTTTCAGCGACCCACAATACCAACGACTGATGTTTGTATTCCAGGCTCCAACAAACAGTGTTAGTTGCCATGGCCAGAACGTCATCCACAATGTGAAGTATTTTATATTGAATGCTGTGTGAAGCACATGGACAAAATCACACGTAAGCCATATTTTTCTGCAACCTTGTAGAAAGAATTGATTCCACTAAATGAAAATTTCTGAAATATGTTAAACCTACTCATCTTCAAAACGTGGTCGATATTAAATTCAATGTGATATTAAATTCAATGTGATATTAACACCTGGAAACCCCTCACTTCAAAATATATTTTGAAAACATGAATATTGATATAAATATCTAAGATATAAGCAATACCTGCATGACATGTGCGTGGTCAACGTATGGGTAGTTGCATACTAATCTCGTACGTCACACGAGTGCCGTATCGCGTTGACCTGTGTCGTAACGACTTGACCTGAGATTCTAACGATTTGATTGGATAACCGATGAACTCTCAATTAGGTCACATTCTGACGTAACTATTTTTTCATTGATAACAAACACGTGAATTCATTCCTTCTACAACTTAAATGCATTGTGGGAATGTAAAAATCGCGAACGTTGCCGTGTCGCTATTTAATTGTCAGTTGAACTGAGACATAATATCTGTTGAAAAACGTAAACGCAATGTTTCCACCGAATATAGCAACTGCAAACCAAGAAACGGCGATGGCAACTGACATGAATCGTGTTTCGCCTACACACCCTATAACTACGTCATTACAGTGACGTCATGCAAATATTGTACTACAGTACAAAACTCTTCCGCAACCTCTTTATGAAACCGGTTTCGGTTTGAAACCAAAATATTAACAAAAATACGCTATTTTGTCAATTTAATGCATGTAAGACGTGCAGATACCATAGGAAGAACACTCGTTCCGTATAATTCGTATGTAATGAGACCTCGTGTAGTATTCTCTATGTATCCCCAGGTGGCTTCAGGTACTTGGTCTCAAGGAAGAAACAAGGATAGCAACGGATAGGATTATCCAATAACTGTTGTCATTATATATTACAGAACAAATATCTTGACAAGTTGTTTTGGATAAGTTGTGATCTTACATGTATATACGAAGCGTAATTTTAAATGATGCTAAACTTGTTTCCATGTGATATATTAAGTTCGACATTTGTCTGAAACATGTCACCTCGTATGCAGCGTAGACAGGGGCCTCCGCGCTCTCCATGACCGGTGTCCATCTCTTGTCCAGGTTGATCTCCATAAGGCTGAGAATACCTCGTTTGATGTTCACTGACCAGTAAGCCTCGTTCTCGGGTGTTTTTATACCAGTGACATGACCCATTATATAGCTGCAGGACAGAGCAAAGGGAGATAATGTTACGGCGGTGGAGTGGGTATGTGCGGTTACATTTCATTCAGGTTAAATTGGATTCCGTTTTAGAAGGGGTCCAAATCAAACTGCACCGGTCGTAAGAGGCATCACAAATGAACGAAGTAGTCTGGCCCTCTGGTTTTCGTACCCTTTGGTGTGGGTCGTTGCCCACAATACCGACCACTAGATTGACTGGTCCAGCAGGGGCGTAGCTACCATTATAACAAAAAGCCCGGGCTTTCACATGCTTATTGCTTAGAAAGTTGGATAAGCCCTCAGTACTATCTGAATATAAAGCTTTGAAACCTATCTGGCTCACTCGAAAAAATGGCCTGCTACGCGACTGTTAAGGATCGATTTTTCACAGGTCATAGAGGTGTAATACACTTGCATGCGAAGTTAAATAACACACTAACACACACAAACACTAATGTTTCGTCAACACATCTTTAAACACCCCTGTATCTATGTTTCGCCTACAAACCCTATAACACACCTTTTATCGCCGTGTTGCACCTCCACAGCCTATAACACCCCATATATTCCCGTGTTTCACCTACACAGCCTATAACACCCCATATATTCCCGTATTTCGCCTACACAGCCTATAACACCCAATATATCCCCTTGTTTCGCCTACACACCCTATAACACCCCATATATTCCCGTGTTTCGCAAACACAGCCTATAACACCCCATATATTCCCGTGTTTCGCATACACAGCCTATAACACCCAATATATCCCCTTGTTTCGCCTACACACCCTATAACACCCCATATATTCCCGTGTTTCGCCTACACAGCCTATAACACCCCATATATTCCCGTGTTTCGCCTACACAGCCTATAACACCCCATATATTCCCGTGTTTCGCCTACACACCCTATAAAACACCCTATAACCCCACGTTTCATCTACCTGAATGTAAAGGGCTCCATGAGGGTCTTGTAGACGGCAGGACAGAAAAACCTGCTCATCTTCTCAGGGTTTACTTGTTCTCGAGTAGGGTTAACATCACGGATGGCGTCGTTCATGGTGAATATCTCCAAATCTTCCAACTAGTACAAAAATATATATCTTGAGTAGATATTCTGTCGATGTATTGATAAAAGAAGTTATGATATACTGAAACCATTACTGTCGGAAACCTCGACTTCAGAGCGAGTCTGGTTCAAGATGAGTGAGTTTGTCAGCGAGTGAGTATGGTTTTATGCTGCTCTTAGCAGCAGTATCATTGCAGGAGACACTAGGAATGGTTTTCATTATGACATTGTACCCATGTAGGGAGTTGACCCCGGGCCTTCCACCTGACAAGTGAACCCTATATTTACCAGGCTATCCCACTGTACATATTGTTTAGAAGACCTTAATAGCCTGATACAGCGGTTAACTAGGCTCGATCCAGTGAACCTCATTAAATCGAAAACTCAGTGCTCATTGCAGCTACGCAAAGATTTGAGCGAACGATCTTTCGTCCGACCAATTGGAGAGTTGCTTACTGCACGCGACGGCAATATTTGCAGCAAGCAGGTCCTAGAGAGTGGTCACCCTTTAAAGTGCCATTATTACGTTACAATGCAATTCGTCCATTAGTTTCATTGGACGATTTCATTTGGAGCCGAGCTGTCAGCTCAGAGTTTACCCGGGTAAAGACTGTTCTCTTTGGCATAATACCCGGAGTATATGATAGTTTTGATAGATAGTGTCTACCTAAGTTCCTATTGCAGAATAATGACTCCGCTCTTACTACGCTCAGATACTCGGAACACACCGGTGACGGAAATGTACTAGGCCTTAGACGTAAAATATTTTATAGGTCTTAACTCACTCTTAGCTAACTTAACTTATCCGCTTTATTCTATCCTTTGTGTGAGACCAACCTGAGCAATGATCACTGACGCCGTGGTGAACTGTAGCCTGACGTTAGCGGTGACTTTGACCCCTGAGTATACCTTGCTGGCTCCTGGGATGCCAGTCACTGTCTGTGCCATGTAGCGATACACATACTCCCTCTTACCCGTGTAGCCTGGAGTAGAGACATACATAACAAAGCGTTCGGAATACAGTTGTTTTCAGCATCTGCGTTTTCTGTGACAATAGTAGCCTCTGAGTTCGGAGCAACTACAAGAGCTGGTCCCCACTTTTGTTACCTTATGTTGGCGTGCACGAAGTCAGAGTTCCACACTAAATTGTAACACAGACATTTGGTCGGGGGAATATATTTTGGTTTGTCTTTTTTAGCATCTAAATGCATCATGATTTCACGCCTGTTTCAGCTTCATTTCTAAATAATCAAAAGTAAACATAATACACATTGTTTTTCTTGATTTTCGTAAGTGTTTGACCTAGCACGACATTCCTGCCAAAGAGTTAAATAGTAGGTTGTTCAGACTCAAACAATTTAGTAATCAAACCAACCACCAGCGAATCGATTAAATTGCAAGAAATCAATAAGGTTAGTGTTACTGCATATATAGCAAACATTTAGTATTGAATAAGAGTAGCTTACGTTTCATCCTACAAACTCAACATCGTACACTATTATATAATAGTCGAACACATTTATTCTGATCTGGACATATGTCATTAACGAAATCTTTATCCATGAACTGAGAAACGAGGTCACAAATGTTCAGTGTACAAACCACATTACTGAAAACATCAGTTCAAACACGAAAGTAACAGAACAACACTTACGCGATTCCTCCAGTGTCGGGGCTGTAACAAAAATATCATATGTAGTTGTATATTGATTAAAAAGAGTTTGTCATTTTGTCATTTTTCAAAGAGCTTGCTTGAAAATCTGAACCTGAGGAAGCAAGCTGGTGACAATTGGGCTTGATTTGCCCATGTATACCACACAACATATACATGTTCCACACATCACCACACACAATATATATATGACGTATATATGCCACACATCACACAACAACACACATACACAGACATAGATACAGATACAAACACATAGACATATATATGCAGCACAATTTGCAGACATTTCAGTTACTCTGCCTGGAATATCATTCCTAATATGTGACGCTCCTGATTGTGCAGGAAAAGATATTGTCTCATCTGCCTAACGTGACATACTTTGTCGTTTGTAAATAAGACATTATGTCAATATGTTGTAAATATGAAAAATAAAATATTTAATATTACCACAAATGTTTTACTTTTTACGTTTACAACTTGTTCAGAAATTCATATCAGAAATTGTTAAAATACCATATGGCTACATTCATCTCGCGCTCCAATAGTTTTAATTGACTTGAACTTCAAACATTTCAATGTTTGACACTGCATTCAGAGCTACTGACACATGCAGGCTGTCTATGTCTTTTTCCATTCAACATTCCCTCGATAATATAAACGATTATGCCCAGGTGCATATATGGTGTTAATTCAGTACATTACAAGATTAATGAAACTACATTTAAGAAATAACAGTAATTAAACCTTCCAGTAATATGAACTGATATTTCAGAGAGTAATTATGGTTACGGTAAAAATATTCTAAAAATCACTTATGCATCACAAAACTCATTAAACGACATTTTCAAAAACCTAATTTTAATATTCCCGTCAAATTGATATTTTATACTGTAATAAATGGTTAAAGCAAATGATCACCAAACCGTTTATACAATAACAAAACGTATGAAACGACATCTATGAAATAGCATCATTTAAACATTCCCGCCATATGCACCGAATTGATATTTTATACTGGTTAAGGCTTCTGCTTACCAAATTGGTTCAACATCACAAGACGTAGGAAACATCATTTGAACAATAGCATCATTTAAACCTTCCCGTAACATTATAGTTAAGGCAAATGCTTAAAACACTATCTATACAAATGTTAAACTGTACTTACTTGCCACCCCTAGAGTGAGAGCGAACACCAAGAGAGACAACATCGCTGCTATCCACCCTCGCCGGTTCTACAATCCTGCCATCACCACGGCTTAATATACCTTCCGTTTTCCCTTCAACTTCGGAATTTTCCCCCAACCTTTCACCCGTCCCTCAAAAAGCGCCTGTGCAGCAATCTGTGCCCCGCTTGCACTTGTAGTTTACAAGTCGTGCAATCAAAGTGCGTGTGTACGTCGGGGTCCATTCCCGACGTCTCTCCATCTGTCAGTCAAAGTTTGAAACTTGACATTGTATGTCATTCTACCAACCTGTTATGGGTTATCTGGTTTACTAAAATGACTCGATAGGGTGCGTTCTTGTAGAAATTTAATTCAATATGTTTCAGTCAACATTTTACGAATCATGTGTCTAATTTGCACTGAAATATGCTTAACACAAAGTCGATGTTTTCGTGAAACGGTATTTTTCAGAGGTTCACCAGATCTCAAACAGGGACTTATCTATAAATGTCTTAGTTCCAGTTCTAGAGCGGGACACAGGTACAGCAATAGGTGGTCTTCAGTTCTTATTTTCTTGCCAATATTCCTGGAACAGTCTTAGTCACATACAACATTTTGATACGTCAGATACGGCCTACCCATGAAACCTGGGAAACATACATTTGATCTCAGTCAGCAGATAATATACAATCCTTATAAAAACAATATATATACTGAGTCAAAAAAGAAACTTCACAAAATGTAATTTGAAAAATAATGAATAATTTTTCTCTGATGATACATCTATGTATCCGAAATGGGATTCCTATCTTTCGACTCTAGAAAAACCGTTAGCCAAACCCACTCAAACCCATCCATTTGTCGTGCAAATGACGTTAGTGCCAAATCAGGTTTTGCACGTGCAGTCGATCACGTGATCTTCGCATCGAAGTTTTCTTCATAGGCACGTGTTTGCATTGGCCTCAAGAATTGAAAAATCACTTTTAAACCACAGTTCTAACGGTACTTAAAAGGCCACGATTGTCAAATGTGCAACGTAAACGTGCCGTTGGCATGTTGCAAGAGCAATGGGATGCAGCCGTCGTACTGTGTATGACTTGCGAGGTCGTCTACAACAAACTGGCACCACTTCTGATCGCCCAAGGTAGGGTCGTCCACGTGTGACGTTACGAGCAGAAGATCGTCAAATCGTCCTACGTCACCTACGTGACAGATTTCTGCCGGCTACACGAACAAGGGCTGAGATGTTTAGAGGTCGACTGTCCTCACAGACTATTCGAAATCGGTTGCGGGCTGCCAATCTCCATTCTCGACGTCCATATCGTGGGCCAATATTGACGCCGTTTGATCAACGTCAACGTCTGCTGTGGGCCAAACGTCACCACCGATGGACCCAGAGAGACTGGAATCGAGTCGTCTTTAGCGATGGATCCAGGTTTACCCTCAGATTCGCGGACGGCAGGCATAGAGTCCGGAGACGACGTCGTGAACGGTATGCCAATTGTTGTGTACAGGAAGTCGACAGATTCGAGGGCGGAAGTTGCATGGTGTGGGGTGCTTTCTGTGGGAACCACCGTTCTCGACTTCCGGTCATCCGTGGAAACCCCTCACAGCTGCTGCTTACCGCGACCAGGTGTTCAACCCTGAACTCGTTCCTTTCATGGCGGCTCGTGGCCCAGGTCTACAGTTCCAGCATGATAATGCTCGGTCGCATACCGCGATGTTGACACGAAATTTCCTTCAAACCGCTGGAATCAACGTCACGGACTGGCCATCGAGGTCCCCTGACCTTAACCAATAGAGCACGTTTGGGATGCACTTGGGAGAAGGCTTCGTTGTCTTAGGAACCAACCTCAGAATTTGCAGGAACTTGGCGCTGCCTTGCAAGAGCAATGGCGCAGAATCCCCAACCACGTGTTCACAAGCATCAGGCAGTCGATGAGGAGACGGTGTTTGGCAGTGGTGAATGCGTGGGGCGGCCATAAACGATAATGAACTGAGAAATTTCGCATTTTTATTCTTGTGACTTGCCATTCTGTATACCCATGTTTTGGAACGGCGGTGTAGCCTACTGGAACTGATTATTGCACTGTTAATGTATCGAGTACATCACACAGATCTCAGCAATGAAATAATACCAATTTAACCATCTTACCATCTCTTGTTCTTTCATAGTGCCCTGACGAAGGATATGAAGTTTCTTTTTTGACTCAGTATATTTGCGTTTCACTCCATTTATTTTATAAACACAATGTTCATAACATATTCTTCCAACATATCCATAAAAATAAATGTTATACCCATTACTGAGAAAAGGAAATATTTCCTGATAATTTGTGAGGGGTGGTGGGGTATCCTAGTGGTTATTAAAGCGTTCGCTCGTCACGCCGAAGACCCGGGTTCGATTCCCCACATGGGCACAATGTGTGAAGCCCATTTCTGGAGTCCACCGCCGCGATATTGATCGAATATTGCTAAAAGCGGCGTTAAATCAAACATACTCACTCACTCAATCGCTAATAATAAGTGAAATCATTGAATCTCTTATTTTGTTTTTTTTTCAAATTTCATGACCCTCACTGATAGTCAACAGTCACTTATGCAACATATAACATGTTATATTTGCGATTACACTTTATCAGCATTGTGTGTTCACAGTCACTTATGCATCCCTCATGATTAGTTATAACCTGCAAAATGACGTTCGTCAGATTGGGCTACTTATCTGGTTTACAACATAAACAAAGAAATGAGCTACCCATTTGTCATTTTGTTACAAAATTTGGAGTCAATACAGTATACACGTATGCTGGTTAATACAAAAAAGGGGTCGTGAATATTTCTGGGGATATTTTTGTGAAAAGGGACGATGTATCTTCACAACAGAAAAAAGGCTCCCCAAAATAGCCATGACCCCTAAATGTTCCTTGTTCAGTACTTTTATGTGTGTAAAATGACAAGCTGCACTTCTTATGAAAATGTTTTGGACCGTTTTGTGTGGGACTAGCATACTTTTTCTCACTCACTATCTAAAACGGCAAATACACTCTTACATGTTTAATACGTGGGATAATTGTAACCCCGATGACTGTTAACCTCCGCCATACGCTAACCTTAACATTGTCTTTGCTTCGTAAACATGGCAGAGTCCCACGTCACCGGGGACATGCCAGTCCTCACAATGTATTTTTCGTCACCTTACAATACACGCACATGTCAACAAAACAATCCACATGTTTAACATCGAAATGGCCTTTTTAGATACAAGGCTAGGCCAAGCATAGATACATGAGTTCCTGTGACAAGACATTTTTGTCGTCTTTATATGACATGGGTTTTTCATATTTTTGTTTCGTTGTTGTTAGTTGTTGTTTTTTGCTGTATTTGTAATCGACTCTTGGCCAGGGGTAATGTTATGAGATACGTTGCCGCAATTCAAACGTGCAATTAAGGATCCTGGCCACCGGATGTCTGTAGCCCCTTCGTGCGACAAGTTAAGGGTTGCTGGAGACCTATTCTAACCCGGAATTCCAAAGGGGGTAATGTGTATGAGCGTCAATGCATTGTTTAATTAATATGACAGTTTGGTCAACAATATGAGCCCTCTTGACTGCGTACTTAGTGTTGTTTATAAAACTGTGTATTACCCCAGCCCTCTGTGTGAATTCGTGGGTCGAATCACGAATGCCCTTTACCCTGTCAAGATCGATGACGTTATAGTGAGATTGTAAACAGTGAGACGTAATAGTGAGATTGTGAATAGTGAGAATAGTGAGATTGTGAATAGTGAGACATAATGAGATTGTGAATAGTGAGACGTAATAATGAGATTGTGAATAGTGAGACGTTATAGTGAGATTGTGAATAGTGAGACATAATAATGAGATTGTGAATAGTGAGACGTAATAGTGAGATTGTGAATAGTGAGACTTAATAGTGAGATTGTGAACAGTGAGCCCTGATAGTGAGATTGCATGACCGGAAGGAGGGAGGCGTTGTTTATGCTGTTTCTTTATGCATATGAATCAGAATTTCTGCTTATGTTGGCAAAAATCAAATCAAGGTAATTTGGCCAAGAAGTTTAACTTAAGCTTCCGGTACATCGGTGATCTAATATCATTCAGTAACCATTAAATAGCCAATTCCCCTCCACTGATCTGAGAAGTGAGGCCGCCTCAACTGTTCCATATTTAGATCTATGTATAAAGATTTAGAGAATCAATAGTCTTCCACAAGGCTGCATGACAAAACGGATGTTAACTTCCCTTTCATGTCGAGCAATATTCCAACAGTTCCAGCCTTTCATGTTTACATTTCACAAGTTTTGTGCTACAATCGAGCGTGCTCCTTTTATCAGGATTTCAAAGAGCGTCATACCGTTCTTGCTCTGTAGTTGTTCGATCAAGGTTAGGAGTCAAGGCATCAGTAAAGCTTTCAAGACGTTTTATGGTAGACATGTGGAGGACATTTCGAAATTTGATGCATCAGTGACAAAAATGATGTCCGATGCAATTCTCTATTTTGACTTGTAACATACGTTTCCTAATTATTTCAGATGAACAATTGACTAGACTTTGCATGTGTTTATGACCGGTTCCACCGGTGGGGCATGATACGCTCACCATTTCGCGAACACTTGGTGTCATCACTATTTCATAGTGATTCATAAACACATGCTCTGTCATCATATCACATGGTGGCAGTCATTGGATTGTCTGGTCCAGACTCGATTTGCTTACAAACATCACACAGCTGTAATACTGCTGAAACAAATATATGCTCATAATATAGTCACAATTGTACAATCGACTCTGCTTTTAGCAGATATTCCTTATGGATGTGGAAAGGGTTTTGTCAGCAGCCACCATATAGGGATTCCGTGTTAAAAACGGCCCTCAACTACCTATGCCTGTTGTAGGGGGGTCTGAATTGATCGTGTGTTCAGACTCGGCGGTTTTGTCGATGGCGTGTCATCGCGTCCCCTCGGCGTTTGTTCAATGGATTTTCTGGCATGGACGGTCAAGTAGTCGTCACATCACTGGAATAGTGTTCAGTGTAGCATTCAACAGCAGCTATTAAAAGCACATAATTTCAGTTTTAGAAGGTGGTTCCAAGTTTCAAGTGTATGCTTTCTTTTGCCTGACATTATTGCTTACTATGCCATTGTCAAACAGAGAGCATAGTATTTTTCTGGGGATACATGTTTGTTCACCATATTCCATGAGGATACTTTTAACTGTTATTCAGTACTTGTGTACTTGTGGGACTTACGTGACCGAACCACAGAACCTGTGATCTCATTTATCACCCTTGTATCACGAGTTCATATTTCAATCTGAAAACACTAAGAGTAGGGGTTTGTTTTGAGTCTATGTGTCTGGTTTTAGTAAACGGCTCTGACCTGATGACACCAACGAGAAGCAGAACCTGTGTGAACAGTTGGCAGCTAGTGATCTGTTTCTCTTTCTTTTTGGGGGGGTAGAATAGTAAGGCTTATGTACGAACATCCATATCTATTATGTTGTATTACAGTTTTGTTTCAGTTGCATCTCATATGAAGTTGGTAGAAATGGTATTGCTATGAGTGAATGTCGTTTTAGGCCGTCGTTGTCATAGTTTCCCGGAAATATCACGACATCATGTATACATCTGTGTCTATCCAGACCGGCCAATGATAAGGGGCGATGGGGTAGTTCAGTGGTTAAAGCGTTTGCTCGCCACGCCGTAGACCCGGGTTCGATTCCCCACATGGGTACAATGTGTGAAGCCCATTTGTGGTGTCCCCCGTCGCAATATTGCTGAAATATTGCTAAGAGCGGCCTAAAACCAAACTCATTCATTCGCTAGACTGCCTCACTCACCCACTCACCAAATAACATGTGAAACCGACTATAAATGCCTCGATGACAGATGACATGCAATCTGTCATGCTGCATTCATTTTGTTTCTTTAATGCCGGTCAAGAGTTACGATCGAGTTAAGGGCATTGATCCACGCAATTGGGATACAATGACATGAAATCAACTAAGTCTTCGAACCTGACGACCCCAATTCACTTAGTCACCAACATGTTCCTAGAAGCAAATATTCTTCCCAGAATCACTCCTGTAACCTGGTTACGCGTCATGTTACATGTGACCTGACCGACACCGTTGCCAGGTGGACAGTACGTCCGCCCGAGGAGCGGAAGGTCCCAGTATGATCCCCTTGAACCAATGTAGATATTAACACTGTTATTAAGCAGGTGGTGACTTGTCTGGCTTAATTCATCACTTGCATGAGAAAGCTGCTCTGAAACGCCATGTTCATTGTTGCATACTCATCATTAGAACAATCGCTTTTTTATATTTTGGATCTGTTGATTGAAATAGTTCTGAAAGAGAAAGGTAAAGTATATTTTGCCTTCATAGTGAAGTCCGGCAGTGTGATGGTAAAGCGCCGCACTAAGAATATTCTGCCTTTATGGATTACCATAATGCGTTCGACAGTACTTATAGAAATGAATTGTGGTTAAAACTTAATAAACATGGAATTGGTAGAAAAATGATATATATTTGTCGTTCTGTGTATAGTGATGTTACGTCATGTATTGAATCATGTATTGAGAGTTAATTTACTGGCCTGTACAATGTGAAATAATGTCACCACTATACCTTTCACTTTTCATTGGAGTCTTCGAATTAGATGAGAAAATACGTTTGGTGTATACATAGGAGACCTTATGTTATTACTACTTCTGTTCGTCGACAATGCTCTTAATGACTTGAACAGCTACTGTTACAGTCACAGTTTGATGCTCTGTCTAGTTACTGGAAACATAGATGTTGACTGTAAACATAACGGTAACTAAAGTTGTAGTGTTTAGAAAATCATTAGATCTACATATTCATCTACCTTGGAAAACGTGAAGCAGTTTAATTATGTAGAATTATCAGTGGCGTCACATGGTAGTCTCAGTCATAAAACCAAGTTTGGGATTACAGAAGCCAAGAAGGGATTACAGTGAGTGAGTGTGTATGGTTTTACGCTGCTTTTAGCAATATTTCAGCGATATCACGGCGGGGGACACCAGAAATGGGCTTCACACATTGTGCCTATGTGGGGATTCGAAATCGGGTCTTCGGCGTGACGAGCGAACACTTTAACCACTTGGCTACCCCACCGCCCCTAGAAGGCATTAAAAGCCTGCAAAGCGTTAATTAATGAGGCTATGGAAACTAAGTTATATGTTACATTTTCACGAGCGGTATTTGATACTTGTTGTACTGTAATGATATTATGGTTGTGAATCAAATTTGGGGTTAAAAACAATCTAACTGCATTGAAATTCATCGTACGTTCTGTAAAACTATTCTCAGTGTACAACAATAGTACAAATAATTTATATGTATGCACAGAGTTGGGAGGATTCTCGTTAATCATCTACAAACAACTGATTAAGATGCAATGTTGGTTTAAGTTAGTATGTCTAGTAATTGTATTTTAAAGTAAATGTATGTTGATGGAGGCAATATCTGAGTAATTGAAACTGTCACATCAAACATTAATTATCTGAAAATGGCTTTTTCTTAGTCTGGGTCTAACTTTAATGTTAAAGTACGTTCTTTTCTGGCAGTATGAAATCGGCACCTTACTTTGAAGATACCTTTACCAACATGTAAGAGGATCTAATTCGTTTTACTTGTATAAGGATTGTGATATGAAACTTGGCAGATTATCTTTACAGAGTTTTAAACTATAGACATAGATGTACACTGAGAAGATTGGATTAACCTTTCATTCTCCACACATAGGAACCGGTAGAAATGGAAGCAATAGAACCCCCATTTTGAAAGGATATGTTTGAAATGCATTAATAATGATACAGAAGACGAGTGCCATTTTGTTTTGATCTGTCCTTCAAGATGTCAGTATATTAAGAAATTATATTACTTAAAGATGTCAATGCTAAAAGTATACTCATACAAAGAAACAGCGAAATATGTTTGTGAAGCAATGCAGAAAATTGTATGGACAATGCTGTTAAATCATATCACAGAGTAGTTGTCTTGACTATCAATCACATAAAACCCTGTAACTGTAACCAATGACTCTGTTGCTTATGCTTTTAAAGTCTGTCTTTCTGTTCTCATTCTGTCCATGTGTGTCTGTGTGTCTGTCACGGTTCTAAATGCCACTGAAAGAGCAGCTGTTAATTCCCTCCCAAGGCATTGATTGGGTCCGATCTGAGTCTGTGGGCTAGAACTATGAAACCGACTAGTTCCGCCATACGTAATTATTGACAGCCGTCATATAGCTGTCACCGATCTGTGTGTGGCATTACACAACAGATGAAAGTGCACCATAAACCTTTGGATATATATGTTTTCAAGATACATTTGAGCACAGCTAAAGTCTCTGATCTAGTAGACGTTCATCTTTTTGGGTCTTTTGGTGCCAATCAATACACTCTGTACAACAAAGCTGCATTCATCTCCAGAATCACATGGAAGGCTGGGCCATAGACGTAAATGGATTCTTTGCCTATATGTTCCTTTAGGAATTCCACAACTTGGTTGTACTCCAACAACGGTCCTTACAACAGCAGGCTTACAACAAAACAACAATTACATTGGTTACATTCGCTTGTACACTGTACAGCAATCCTTATCAACTCGGGGTGTTGGGATAATTAATTTCTCCAAAATATACATGACCATATTCGTATGTCTTCCCCATGATTACGTTTCTCTTCCAACAATGGACAAAATGTGGTTCAAGGCTTCATTTATTCAGTGTTCGAAAATAAAAGCGAGGTTGTTGTAAGGGGAAGGGGAGAATCCTCAGGTAACTGATGATTGCATCCGAATCTATGTAACTTGTAACATTTGTTTTGTTTGAAAGATTTCTAGGCTTTCTGGCTTACATACCATTATCCTTCTGGTTTTGACAGTTGACACCACAAACCTACAACACATATAATCATAACAATAGGTTTAATAATTTTGTAACATAATAAAATATTGCTTTAATAACAATGAGCAAATATATGTGTTTCTTCAAACAATGCTTTTCCTGATACAGATTCCATCTTTGGTCATTAGGGTTAGTATGAAAATAACATGTCACAAAAGTCCGATACTTTTTTTAAGAATGCATATCTTGATACAGAATCTTCAGGGCTTCTTTGAATTCATGTAGCTCAGATTCAATCTTCTCAATACGGTCCAGACACAGGTAGAGTTTCTGTAACTTCTCTTGAATGAGGCCTCCACTCTTCTCATATCCTAAGAACATGTGTTGCTCCAGGCGATTACAAGCACTTTCCATCTGAAAATATATCACATACATGTCATGTTTATGGAACACATTAAGAGTAAGACGGATAACATTCCAGGTAAATGACAAGGGTCTGTACATAGTCAGGTCTGAATCATACAATCTACTGACTGACATCATAACCATAGATGAGGCAGTCGGGATAGGAAGACATGCAATCAAGAAAGTCACATGGTCTGACCACCTGGTCCATTTAAAAGCTATTGTGGACAATCATGGTTTGCTTGGTACCTATATTCTTCCCTGAAATCATCAGGGGGAAATAAAGGAAGACAGTAGATTTTATAAGAAACGGGTCTATGAAAGTAAGCGCAGATGAATAAATGTTTTCATTTGTTTTGTTCTCCGTCTATATTTCCAAGCATGGACCAATCTTTAGCATTTGTGAATATTTGAATTCAGGTATGTTTGGAAATTGATTAGTGAAGATGAATTTAAGGAAAATTATAAACCATGACTGAACAAGTTTTTTTAATCCACCTGCTCATTTAGGGCCTTCTTGAAGTTGGAAAGTAGTTGTGTGTCTTGTTTTCTCTTGGAGTTGAGATCATCCACAACTTTCTGAGCGCTGGAATGGAGTGACTCCCGTGTGACGTCACTGAGGGCGTCCACCTTGGTCGTCAGACACTGCTGTGGTGCCGGCTTTACACAGCTCATGGCTGATGGGTCCAGTTCTCCCAGTTCTGGACTGATAAAACACAACCGTTATTCGGAGTTAACCCCAGCCAAATGGAGTAGAGGTCGCTGTTATTTACCACATCAGTACGTAATTACAGCCGTAGCAAATACACCTCAAAGTAGATTTCATCATCTGTTCGAATTTCAGTTGAAAATATCGTTTCTTACCACAGTCTTCTCATTCAAGAAAATCGTCCCACAAAATTACCTAGCCACTGACTGCTTTTTACAAACTGTCACTTAAACGAGTGATGGTTAAGGGGCATAATCAGATTGAAATTATTTTAAATTACATCAGCATAAGAGACCTGTATACATACATTTGCCACCAAGTTTATGATTCGTTAGTACAAGCAGAACATGATATGGAGCCAGAAAATGGGAGCAAGCATGTGAACGTCAAATTAGTCATTTTAAGTAGAGACGTCTGCGTGTAAGACAGTATCTCTCGACCGAAGCTTTATAAGAAAACTACCACTTGAGCGTTCCAGTCCTATGTTACAAAATCAATATACCACCCATAACATGAATTACTGATGAAAATAACAAAAAGTAAGATGGATTTGTACACACTCACTTCGTCTGCTGATCCTCCATTCTCAGTACTCTGACAAACTTCCGTTGTAAGCGTTGTCAGGAGCTCAAAGTTTATCGATCAGAGTTATTCCCCCTTAACTCTCTAGCTCCTACCTAAGAGTTTCATTTTGGTGGAACGTATCAGGCTATTACTGCAGCTTCACGCATGATCTTTTCCGGTTGTCACTCCGTTTGGCAATGCAAAGAAACGAAGAGATTTTATGTATGACTGAGGTGAATGATATTGTAACGATCGAGATCGGGTAATCAGGCCCGCTTACTTGATTGATGTATGCCCACTTGCATAATCGACGCTCATGTTATCGATCACTGAGTGATTCGTCGATTATTAATAGACAGCGGGAATTCTAGTGCAGAGTTAACACAAACAAATTTACAGGGAGCCGTCATATGAAGCTTCAATGTTGAGGAGTGCGGCGTTGAACAACACGCACGCACGCACGCACGCACACACACACGCACACACACTCACTATCATTTGAAAAGACATTAAGAAAACACAATTATTTCGTTTCTCACTATCATACCAGACTGTTCGCCCCCTTCGGGTAGTGGGTAGAGTGTCTGTCAGGGGACGGGAATGACGCCGTTGGGTAGTGGGTAGAGAGTGACGGGGCGGGGATGACGCCGCACGTAGGGCTACGGGACACATGTTTTCGATATCCCAATACATATGCAGATTTGTCACAGAGGATATACATGGTCACGCCCTCTTGGAGATGTGTTGACTTCTCGGGCATTTCCCACATTAAAGATGACATGGAGATAGTTATCCCCCACCACCCCACCCCCCAAGGAATCGTAAAATGTCGGCCATTTGGTCTAACAGTATGGATATATAAAATGTAATAAAACATGCGAATTAGGTAAGTTGAAATCATCACCAAACGAACATTGATCAAAAATGCTCTTTAATTCGAATAATATTTAGTATGCTTGAATCACAATTATACTTTTTATAAATAGGAAAAGCAAGGTATACGTAGGGAAAAAAAATATTTTAGGGAAATATTTGACACAAACCAATCCATACTGAATCCCAACATGTTGGGGAATGGTTGCCGACGACAAAACGTTTTGGAAAAAAGAAACGAACAAAAACGTAACGTTACACTCACGTCTGTAGTGAATCGCTAAAACGCACCCTACATGAAATGCACGTGCATCATGAAATTGTGTATCACCTTGAGCTGAAGCCTATGGCTGTACGCTTTAAAAGCCACATCAATGGTACTCCACATGCATTGCTTTAAGTCACTATAGACGACAAGAGAATGAAAAGACTGACAAAAGCTCAACGACACAACGCCATCGGCATTTTACAAGGACGAGCGTCGCAGCATGAGGTACCAAGGCACTTCAGCTTGTCCAGACAGACCATCTCAGACCTATGGACCTGATACAACAATACTGGGAATGTTACATACAGACCCAGGTCAGGTCGACCTAGAGTTACCACTGACAATGCTCGACCTCACGTTGCGCGTGTTTGAAAGGACATCCTCCAGGAAAACAACGGTCAGGTGTTACCTTGGCCTTCTCGATCACCCGATTTGTCCTCCATTGAACATCTATGGGATACTCTTGATCGACGGTTGCGCCAGCGTAATCCGCCACCTCAGACACTACAAGAACTGCACACAGCACATCAGCAAGAGTATCAAAACATTCCTCAAGACTGCAGATGTCTTGTTTGAAGGAGTTATATGCACTCAGTAAGTTAACTCCAAAACAGCATGAATAGTTTTTTTCTTTCTTTTTTTAAAGAGTTTATTATGTACCGTATGTGAAATTAAATACCAACTCCTTCACTTACTAACGTTAACCTGCTAAATACATCAATGCACAGAAATAAATAGTGCTGTCAAAATGAAAATAGCAGTGGCAAGTACCACCGTTCTTCCGCCATGCGTCCTTATTTCAATACAGGGAGCATGGAGTACAAGTGGATTATACTGACAGGGCCAAACTCCGTTCTAGTAATATTATATGAGTAACTACGGACTGGTGTGATATAGGTATAATGCTGCTGTCTACAGACTGGTGTGATATAGGTGTAATGTTGCTGTCTACAGACTGGTGTGATATAGGTGTAATGTTGCTGTCTACAGATTGATGTGATATAGGTATAATGCTGCTGTCTACAGATTGGTGTGATATAGGTGTAATGTTGCTGTCTACAGATTGGTGTGATATAGGTATATTGCTGCTGTCTACAGACTGGTGTGATATAGGTGTAATGTTGCTGTCTACAGATTGGTGTGATATAGGTATAACTCTGCTGTCTACAGACTGATGTTATATAGGTGTAATGTTGCTGTCTACAGACTGGTGTGATATAGGTATAATGTTGCTGTCTACAGACTGATGTGATATAGGTGTAATGTTGCTGTCTACAGACTGAAGTGATATAGGTGTAATGTTGCTGTCTACAGATTAGTGTGATATAGGTATAATGCTGCTGTCTACAGACTGGTGTGATATAGGTATAATGCTGCTGTCTACAGAGCTGTGTGATATAGGTGTAATGTTGCTGTCTACAGACTGGTGTGATATAGGTGTAATGCTGCTGTCTACAGACTGGTTTGATATAGGTGTAATGTTGCTGTCTACAGACTGGTGTGATATAGGTGTAATGTTGCTGTCTACAGACTGGTGTGATATAGGTATAATGCTGCTGTCTACATACTGGTGAGATATAGGTGTAATGCTGTTGTCTACAGACTGGTGTGATATAGGTATAATGCTGCTGTCTACAGAGCTGTGTGATATAGGTGTAATGTTGCTGTCTACAGACTGGTGTGATATAGGTGTAATGCTGCTGTCTACAGACTGGTTTGATATAGGTGTAATGTTGCTGTCTACAGACTGGTGTGATATAGGTGTAATGTTGCTGTCTACAGACTGGTGTGATATAGGTATAATGCTGCTGTCTACATACTGGTGAGATATAGGTGTAATGCTGTTGTCTACAGACTGGTGTGATATAGGTGTAATGCTGCTGTCTACATACTGGTGTGATATAGGTGCAATGCTGTTGTCTACAGACTGGTGTGATATAGGTGTAATGCTGTTGTCTACAGACTGGTGTGATATAGATGTAATGTTCCTGTCTACAGACTGGTGTGATATAGGTGTAATGCTGCTGTCTACAGACTGGGTGTGATGTAGGTGTAATGTTGCTGTCTACAGAGTTGTGTGATATAGGTGTAATGTTGCTGTCTACAGACTGGTGTGATATAGATGTAATGTTCCTGTCTACAGACTGGTGTGATATAGGTGTAATGCTGTTGTCTACAGACTGGTGTGATATAGGTATAATGCTGTTGTCTACAGACTGGTGTGATATAGGTGTAATGTTCCTGTCTACAGACTGGTGTGATATATGTATAATGCTGCTGTCTACAGACTGGTGTGATATAGGTATAATGCTGTTGTCTACAGACTGGTGTGGTATAGGTGTAATGTTCCTGTCTACAGACTGGTGTGATATATGTATAATGCTGCTGTCTACAGACTGGTATGATATAGGTATAATGCTGCTGTCTACAGACTGGTGTGATATATGTATAATGCTGTTGTCTACAGACTGGTGTGATGTAGGTATAATGTTGCTGTCTACAGACTGGTGTGATATAGGTGTAATGCTGCTGTCTACAGACTGATGTGATGTAGGTGTGATGTTGCTGTCTACAGATCGGCATGGTATAGGTGTGATGTTGCTGTCTGCAGATCGGCATGATATTATTGTATTGTTGTTGACAGATAATCGTGACGCTGGCATAATATTGCTGTCTACAGATCGGCATGATATAGATGTAATGTTGCTATCTACAGATCAGCATGATATAGGTGGAATGTTGCTGCCTACAGATCGGCATGCTATAGGTGTGATGTTGCTGCCTACTGATGGGCATGATATAGGTGCAATGCTGTTGTCTACAGACTGGTGTGATATAGGTGTAATGCTGTTGTCTACAGACTGGTGTGATATAGATGTAATGTTCCTGTCTACAGACTGGTGTGATATAGGTGTAATGCTGCTGTCTACAGACTGGGTGTGATGTAGGTGTAATGTTGCTGTCTACAGAGTTGTGTGATATAGGTGTAATGTTGCTGTCTACAGACTGGTGTGATATAGATGTAATGTTCCTGTCTACAGACTGGTGTGATATAGGTGTAATGCTGTTGTCTACAGACTGGTGTGATATAGGTATAATGCTGTTGTCTACAGACTGGTGTGATATAGGTGTAATGTTCCTGTCTACAGACTGGTGTGATATATGTATAATGCTGCTGTCTACAGACTGGTGTGATATAGGTATAATGCTGCTGTCTACAGACTGGTGTGATATAGGATAATGCTGTTGTCTGACAGATCGGTGTGATGTACTACAGATCGGGTACAGGTGTAATGTTGCTGTCTACAGACTGGTGTGATATAGGTGTAATGCTGCTGTCGTGACAGACTGATGTGATGTAGGTGTGATGTTGCTGTCTACAGATCGGCATGATATAGGTGTGATGTTGCTGTCTGCAGATCGGCATGATATTATTGTATTGTTGTTGACAGATAATCGTGACACTGGCATGATGTTGCTGTGTACAGATCGGCATGATATTGTTGTACTGTTGTTGACAGATAATCGTGACACTGGCATAATGTTGCTGTCTCCAGATCGGCATGATATAGGTGTAATGTTGCTGTCTACAGATCGGCATGATATTGGTGGAATGTTGCTGCCTACAGGTCGGCATGATATAGGTCGAATGTTGCTGTCTACAGATCGGCATGATATTATTGTACTGTTGTTGACAGATAATCGCGAGACTGGCGTAATGTTGCTGACTACAGATGTTGATTCAATACTGCTGACCCCTGGGTGTCATGTTACAGACTCTGGCCTTGCTTCCTAGAGGTTCCGTAATAAATTGTTATAGACTGGCTGGTCTAAAGGTTGGTCGGGGAGCAGTGCTCTTTTACATGACGAATACCGTATTTCTGTTCGGGAATTTTTTGTTTTTGTTCTCGTAGATCCCGGGCTACCGTCCTCGTGTCTATGCCGTGATTGAA